CCAAAAGTTCACCTTGGGCTCACAATAACCTGAGTTACGCCAAGCATCGCCAAGCAGCAAACCCGGGCACGCTGCAAGGCACTTTTCTTGAGCCATGTCGAGGTCGGAAGAACGAAGTCAAATCTGCCAGGTGTCATGCATCAGTATCAGGGGTTCCAACCCCAATTCAACTTCCATCACAAATCTTTGTAAAAAGAAAGGAGAAAAGCGCAGCGGGATTTTCAATCACCACAACAAGCATCGCCACTTCAAAGAACCGCACCGGAATTTCAATCCAAAAATATCCAAGCTTAAGAAGAGCGCAACGCAAACCTATCATGAATACTCATCAGCAATGATTGTGCATTGAGTTTTGCTCAGGACAACAGTGGTCTCCTGGCTATGCTGCAGAGAGGGGCAAGACGAATTGTTTTGGATCCTTGGCCAAGAAATGCCGATTCTCCACCCAGATCAATCATGGCATGCTTTACCTGACTTGATTAGCACATCAGATGCTGTCAGTCTAGTGGTTACATGTCACTACCGTATACCGCAGGTTGTGAGTACCGGCTCTGCACTTCCCGATGATGTAGAGTTTTGCACCTCAGTTTACACTACTGGGTGATTTGGGTGTCCAAGTGCAGAGATATGGAAGTGGAGATGATGGAGATGCTCAGGCAAGGTGACACAGCATGGATCCCTGTGTCATCCTGTGTCACAATGAAGCCTTTCGATGCCTTTCGAGCATAACCACTATCGAAGCATCAAGCCACAAGGTAAAGTTCCATCCCTGAGTCCTGACGTGGCCAAGCGCTTGGAGAACCAATTTCAAGCAAACTTTGGTTTTTGGGACAAGGAGTCAGCGGTGTACTTGTAGTGCATGGGTAGGCAATGGTAGGCATGTGGACAAGTGTTAGTTCTGATCAAAGACGTTAAACCTTGCAAATATTTTTTCATCCTGGAGGATGACATTGGTGAGTTCCTGACGCGCAATCAGGCTGTGGCTGATGCATGACACCTCATGAGACTCTGTGATGCTGCGTTCAAGTCGTTACGAAGGCGTTTTTTATCAGGAACAAAATCTTGCAATTCTCACGTGCAGGTCTTCAGCAAGGATGAACTCTTGCCTTTGCTTTGCCAACTGCAATCCTTGAAGAGACAAGGGAAGCCGGCGCTGGCAAAGCGCAAACTCAAAGTTCTCCCAAACAGCACCTCAGCATTCCACCGAGGTTTAAAGTGTGTGTTGCTGAAGTTGGCACAAGGATGAGCGTTGTATGATGTTACGTTGTATGATCGTTTCTGGTTGCAACATACCATGCATACTGCGTTTTTAAAGTAGGTAGGCAGCATTTCTTTTGAGTTGGCTTTGTTTTCGAGGTTGGTGGGGTATTGAGGGCGGCTACGGTGTGCAGTTGCCTCTTGATGCGCACTTGGGTTAGCCGCACTGCTTCGAAAGGGAACCTGTATAACCTGTTGGAAATCCATGGTAATCCAGAATTGGCTTGTTGTCAAGTTTGGACTGTGCAGCCAGGTTCCCCGTCTTTTCTGATGCCGTTCCAAGTTCCAAGATGATGTCAATGGATGTCAATGGCCCATCACTTTTCCTAGCAAGTCAGGGTAATAAACTGGCCCCTTTTGCCCCGAACCATCCGCGGTTTGCTCAATGTCTCACAACTGCCATTGCTGGCAGCATCCCTGAGAATCACTGAGGCTGGTAGTGTACAATGAGAAATGCAGGGACTTCGAAAGCAAGCTTCCCAAGGACACATCCGACAATCTTCATGCGTGACTTGCCAGCATGAGGCAACTCTTTTCGCAGCTGCTCAGTGAAGGAATAGCACGAACAGCTCAGGTTTTTTACTTCTGAGTTCAAGCGCTTCCCGCACTACAGAATAGTGTTCCAGAATGCAGGCTCAGGAACTGTCCACGCCTTGACTGTTCATGCAAAAAAATGTGCAGGTCAGCAGAGACATGGATAGACTTTGGGGTCGCTGGTCAGCATGTCGCTTGCTAAGGCACTGACCCATCCACAAATTAATCTATTGGCTGCAATGTCTGAGTATTTTGTCAGAGAGCCTTGGGCTTTTGGATGTTTTTTCTTCCCGAATTGTGGTTGGACTACACATGCAAGTAACTCAAGAAAGCAACTCAGCTGCACCCACATGAGTGATGTATGAATGATTTTGAACTCTACAGAGCTGAGGAAAATGCAGAGCTTTTTGGTAGCTTTCTCCAAAGGTGAGAAGGACAACTGAAGGGTGATAGCAATCACTGCTATGTTTTTAAGAATCGAAGAACTCACAAAGGAGCCGATTGGACCGATAGCGTCCTGCAAAGTCAGGCATGTTTTCCACCGGCGTCACAGTTCGTGCCCACAACAGTCTGGAGCATCGTAGTGACGTAGTGTATCGTCGTGTACATGTTTGGTCAACATTGGTCAAGCCGTTGGCCATCTCCGAACCACACTGACTTAAAAAGTAACATGACAAGATTTAAATCAATTAGAAACATCCATTGCATGGGTCTTACTTCATGTGAATATGGGCCCAGTTAGTCGAAATGAGCGATGGTCACTGGCAAATGTTTGAGTTTCAGATACTTTCAACCTCTTCAGCCAACGCAGACGAGAAACAGGCTCAAACGCGTTTGGAGTTTGGAGCTTTGCAAACTTTCCTTGGCTGCTGATGGCCTCTCCCTTGCCTGGCCGTGTGTCCCTCACAGTGTCCACACCGTCAGGCCAAAGTTGCACCATTGCAGCATTGGCATCTGGGCGTGTGGATCAATTGCATGTAGCCATTGAGAGAGCGCTGAAGATCCCCAGAGTTGTACAGAGACTGATCTGTGAAGGCAGGGAGATTTACAGCAAGCACTACTTGGCCGAACTTCGGCTCGAGGATGGAAGCATTATCACTGTCGTGAACAGTTGGCCACAGAAGCCAGAGGAAATTGTGGAAAAGTTGAAGCTGGCAGAATCCACAACAGCAACACATGCTCTTGCAGCAGCAGTAGCACAGTGCTTGGAGCACGAGGACAGCTCAGTGAAAGTTGCTGCACTAAGCCAGCTCTCATGGATGGGCCGAGTTGCTGCCCCTCATGCTGCTGCAATTGCGAAAATCTTACAGAATGAGGAGCGGGGAATTCGTGCAGCAGCTGCTGAGGCACTTTCGTGGTTAGAAGAGGCAGGTGCGGCTTATGCTGCTGACATTTTGGCATTTACATGCCTGCCACTCGGGCGCTTTGGGCATGTTTCCATCATGTCAAGGGCGAAGAAGGCCATAGCGGCTTTCTTTATGTCGGAATTGCCTAGCACCCGCCTGACTGCGATGAAATCCATCATCGGATTGCTGGAGGACAAAGACAACCCAGCAACTCCCCCAGAAGAGCTTCAGCGCAACCGCTTTAGTTTGCCCTTGATTTGTGAAGCGTTTTTCGATCCATCTGCGGATATCCGAAAGACCGCTGCTTCGTTCTTGGTGAGTCGTATCCCCGTATTCTCAGCTGAAGATGGAAGCCAGCCCGTATTAGTTTTGAGGGACGAATTGATTCTCCAATTCCTCAGTTTTGGTGAGCGCATCAATTTGGAAGCAGAGCTGGCAGAAGATGCCGGCATTGTAGAGGCTTGTAGGGACATTGCCAGAAAGTTGGACGCCTCCTGGCCGAAATGGGCCGGATGGCAGGAAGGTCTGGATGATCCGGACTCTTCAGTTGAAGCTGCAACGTGCGAAGTGTCAGTGTCGATGGTGCAGTTCTTGCGGCGGAGGTTCTGTGAATGGCAACATCTTCAGACCCAGGACGGACGGCCTGCACGTTTCCAGCTAGAGGCGGTCTTTGACTTGCTTCACCCTATGGTGGAAGACGGGTTGCGCAGCCGCAAGTGGCAGGTGCGTCAAGCAGCGGTGGAAAGTCTCATCTCTCTTGAGCCCTTTGGAGTTAATGCATTGGTTGCACTGATTCTTGCCCAGCAGAAGGAAAAAGAGAAGCAAGTCTTGGAAACGATGGCCAGGTTCTTTGCCAAATACGGCTGTGACTATGAAAACAACCAACAGTTGTTCTACTATTTTGATCATTTTGATTGCTGGTGCTCAGATGAGTCTGATGGAGACTATGCGGAGTACCTGGAAGAGGAAGAAGAGTGGCAGCTGCGGGACAAGAACGGGGGATATTCAAAGTCGCATCTCAGCCGCAGTGCGAGGCACAATAAAAAGCATGGGGCGGATTCCTCACGAGATCCTGGAACCGATGCACGGCAAAAGAGGTGGCAGAGGCTAACCAAGCCAGAAGAGACTCAGAACTTCGCCGAATCCAAACGCAAGAGCTCAAGAGACAAAGAGCGGGACCGGCGGCTAAAGTCTGCGATGCTGGGACAAGAGCTCTCGAAATTTGCCATGGACCATGCCTGAAGTGCCTGAAGGGCATTGACGGCTGTGATTGTTGCTAGCTGTTATCCGATCTATCCTTCACATGGGGGCCAGATTGGCCAATCTACCATTGATATCATTGATATATATATATTGATATCTATTGATCGCTTGTACAGTCAATGCCTTAGAGCCGACGACACAAAAAGTATGTTCGATGCTGGCACATGCTGGCACCACTTCACGAGCATCAGGGAGTCGAACAAGTGCAACAAGTGCGACTGACAAGCACAATTTGGGCACCCCTTTGAATGATCGCCAGCTGCTTTGGAGGACTTGTCCAGGAAAACAATGCTTGGCAATTCTTGGCACAAGCACAGCCGACTTGAAAGGCCAGACATACAGTATACATCAGTATACTTCTTAGGAGCTTGCCCAGCAAGTAGCCTGAGCAATGCAGTGATCTTACAGAAGCTGAGGGAGACAAACCAAAACACATCTCCGAATCCAGGATAGATTTAGTGTATGCTTCTTCTATTTTTTTACTGACTATGATTTTCTGTCGTTGGATTTGCGAAGGCGTATTGGAGTTGTAGTGAGAACAGCACATCTCACAACGTTCCCAGTAGTTGTTCAAAATTCAAGATCCTTGAGCCATCACCCTCATATCGTTGCTTCGCCATGAATAAGCCGACGGAAGACGCCAGAGTTGGCGCATCTGTCGGTGGTTTGCGCTTGCCTTTGCTTACACCCATGCAGGAAGAAATTCATTGGGTTGATGCTGAGAAAGGCCGGAGAGCAGACGAGCAATTGGAGTTTAGAGTGAGTGCGCAGCTGCTGGTGCTTTGCATTATGGCACTCGACTGGCACTAGCTATGTTAAAATATGTTAATGTACATTATCATAATTCATATATATATATATTATTACATTGTTATTTAATTATATATATATATTACATACATACATACATACATACATACATCCATACATCCATACATCCATACATCCATACATCCATACATCCATACATCCATACATCCATACATCCATACATCCATACATCCATACATCCATACATCCATACATCCATACATACATACATACATACATAGACACATAGACATACATGCATACATGCATACATGCATACATGCATACATGCATACATGCATACATACATACATACATACATACATACTGCACATACATACATACATACATACATACATACATACATACATACATACATACATACATACATACATACATACATACATACATACTGTACATACATACATCCATCCATCCATCCATCCATCCATACATACATACATACATACTGTACATACATACATACATACATACATACATAAATACATACATACATACATACATACATACTGTACATACATACTGTACATACATACATACATACATACATACATACATACATACATACATACATAATCATACATATATATATATTATCAATTATTATCACACGTATATATTTATATATATAACTATATTTGCATATGAGTAGCAGTGTTCATGTTCACACATGTACACGAATGAGGTTCGATGGGAGTAGATCAAAATTGAATACTTGGAAAAGACACGTATATACACATTAAAGCCATAGGTACGACCTTGGAACACGAGATTAGTGATCAAATCAAGTTCAGGAAATGGAGAACAAGGTAGCGTCCGCCTCGCCTTTGGCAATGAACTCAAAAATATACAAATTCCATGGCTTACAACTTATATAACTTGATCTGTGGTGGTGGGGAGTTTAGGGTTTGCCGGACATGGTCAAAAAAAACATCAGATTTGCAGATAAAATCGGCCCAGCCATCAGGCGGATCCATTCTGGCTCAGCACGCTGCTGAAGCTTTGAAGAGTCGAGAGCTGCGTGTTGCAGTGGATGCAGCCAGACGCTTATTTCCGCGATCTTTCATGTGTAGTATAGGCCGTTTCTTTTAATGGATGAAATGTGCTGCTCTGCTCTTCAGAGTCTCAGGAATGGCAGGACCCTAGGCCGCTGTCGCTTCTGCAGCTGGCACTCTCTGTCCGAAAGCAGCCTCCAACAGTGCTATGGCATGCTGTGCTTATGTTTGTTAGCACAGTTTGAGTTAATACTGCTTAGATGATTGATGATTATAGATAATATATGATAATATATTGTGATTGTTTGACCATGACTCCAATTACGCACTCTTGCAAATGTTTGGAAGACACAGATGACACAGGCAGCGTCCACAAGTCTCAGACCTCATCAGTTTGGCAATGATAGTTATGTAATAAAGTTATAGTTATATAATATATCAAAACAGCTGGCTGCAGCTTGCTTTAGGTCTTTTTGATCGACATGGTGCAGCCGCCCTGTGAGTCAACACTGGATTGGTGCCGGAAGTTGTTGACGGGCAAGCACGAAGTCCTGGTCTTCAGCCCAAAGGAGGATTCGCGAAGACTCGAAGAGGTCGGCTTGTTACCAGGCCTGGGTTGTTCAATTGTTCAATGTCTTTCAATCTCGTTGTATCTCTCGGCATACAAAGCACAATTAGCAAAGAAACATGTTGGACTTGAAGGGGCCTGCCTGTCCCGAAGAATTTGCCTGACGCAAGGAGTTGATCAGTCAAACTGGTTGGATTTGCAGCGACTTGATTGGGGTTTGGGCAATCAGCCTGGTCTTCAAGCAGTCGCAACTCGACTCCATGGTCTGATTTTGCCAGCTGATTTGCAAGTTGTTTCACTACGAGTTACCACATGCTGCATCAAGCTGTAAAGTGATGAGACACTCTAATTTAGGAGTTAAGCTCAGATCCCAAAAATGCCTGAATTAGTGGCATTTTGTGGCCAATGCCTCAGAATCGCCAAGTTTCATTCTAGGCAGCTTGGGCTCTTGGCCGTTGGATGGACAAATCCTTGCAAACCTCGAACTGGGACCAGCGCCCACTGACCCGAGAACAGCAAGCGCTTTGTCAAAAGAGAGAAGGGAGTCTCCATCGTAGATCGTCGTAGATATTAATGTAGATATGTTGAAGAGAAATGATCAGATGACCTGCTGAGAAAGCTACAGATTCCATAAGCACCCCACAGTGTGTCCGTGGTCAGGAGTACGCTGCCTTGGATGCCAGTGTTCTTCTGCAATTGCATGACTGTGATCGTGCAGCCCTTCCACAAAAAGCAGTACTTCACGAAAAGGTTCAGAGCCCAAACCCCTCTGGAGACATGGCTATGGCACAAGAGAAGGACTGAACGGACCCGAAAAACGTCCACATGGCACGCAGCAGAAGATGCAAAAACGACCAGATTTGAAATGTTCTGATTTTTCATGATCTTTTTGGCACTTTTTTTCAGCTTGGTACTTGAGGATCTTCAGTGTTGATACTGCGAAGTACAAGTCGTCAAAGCCGCCCCTAAGAGCAGGAGCGGTGGAATAGCTATCGTAGTCATCCCCAGAGACAGCGACCGCGCATCCTTGCTGAAGGGGCACGTGAGAGGAATGACGACCTGTGCTCCTGGGCTCCTATCGGTTGATATGTGGGAATTGCGCTGAAGAACGTTCAATCAATCATCATAAATCATATATGAATTACTATGAATTATAGAATGATCATGTAAATCAGCATGCAACTTATAAAATACAGTACATAATCATACGTCATCATATATCATGATAACTCATACTTTTGTAGTGCATTCTAGTGCATTAGTAAATAGCATGCTGAGGGGGAGTCAGGCCATAAAGATCCAAGATTTGAGAGGCCTCAGAGATCATTGTTTCGAGAAATCCGTTATAGAGCTTCGCTATGCTTCGCTTGTTCACTCTCAGCCAGGGGAACACGCACTCTAAGTCTGTAGATAGAGATGAGCCTCAAGCTGCGCCAGCCTCAACATGAACTGGCAACATCATGGGACAACCTGGAGAGCCCCAGGTTTCATGCTGCCTGCAGCACTTACACGACTGATGCGGAAGTTGCGTGGTTTGGGTCTTGATACTGCCATTCTTCGAGAGGGTGCTCCGCAACGAGAGCTGGTGGAGACTGCAGAGAACGAAGATAGGAGCTCAACTCGCAAAATTGTTCCAGCCAAAATGTATGAATATACAACATATCATATATATATATATGAATATATATATATATATATACGTGTGTGTGTGTGGGTATGTGTGTGTACAGGTCATAGTTTAAGTCTATATGCTTTTCTCATATGTCAATCAATAATTGTCTCCATATATGCATTCGTCCAAAAGTCTTATGATTTGCATCTCGATTGCAGCATGAAGTCGATTTGCTAGCATCACCATTGACCACAGGGCCTGGCCCAAGCTTCTCACAGTTGAAATCTGTGTTGCAAGATGTTGTTTCCCCAGAGATGCGGGCAATGTATGGCAATGTGTTACGGTAAGGCAATGCAAGGCAAATCCCCTGAGAAGCACTGGCGAAAAGTTGCAAGCACATTTGGCACATAACAGTCCCTCCGGAAGGATCATTCTGTACTACAACACCAAGAACTTGCTGCCTGCTCGAGTATGCCATCGCACCTACATGCTCCGCAGCACATCCCCTGACGAACAGCTGCGAGAAGTGATCGAGGCCGGCTAAGGCTTTGTGATCTTGCGCAGCTTGAAGGGGAAACATCTTGGCTCAGTCTTGTTCTATCTTGTTTTGTCCTTTTGTTATCTTTTATTTGGTGAATGTTCGGGATGACATTACCACTCATTACCATGAGCCAAGGCATTTGCACCGTGTCGTGTTTGAAACTTGTTCCAATCAGCCTCCAGACATTGCCAGACGTAGAGGCTTTCGACGTAGATGTCAACTCAGACTGTCTTTGCGGCCGCTGTGTGCAGTGCAATGCCTGGGATTGGCAACTGGTGGGCCGCGAGGAAGTCAAAGACAACCCTCAGGCACGGTCCAGCTTGCAACGCTCTTTTGCTTTCACAACACTAAAACTATTTATGAAGTTCATTGAATTTCACCATATTTCAGGTGTTTTCAGAGGGCAATGTGATGATGTTTGATTTCAGAGTAATGCTGCATGTCACCCTTTTTGCTGCGTTGGGATTGACAATGCAATGACCAGAATGACCATGGCCTGCCAATCTGCCATCCAGTTTCTTAGACAAACCTTTGAAGGTGGCAGCAAAGACTTTGGAGAGCTTCGATGAGCCCGATGCCGAGAAATGTGCGGAATTCTGCGGACAGTGATAGATTCGTGACGGCTGGGGAACTACTGTATAACATGTAACGTATGGAAAGCATCTCGTTAACCCTTCTGGTGGAAGAATTTATTTGTCAGGTCCTGTGCCTTCTGTTCAACTCTACGCTGGTTGAGGTTTTGGCTTTGCGGCGGCTGTGGAAAGGTCTACTGGGAGGGCAAGATGTTTGTGAAGGCCAGAGTGCGACAAGGAAAGAGATGCAATTACAGTACTAAAAATTGGGACTAAAGACGCTAGAAATCACAATGCACAGGTCACAAATGGTCACACTCTGGAACGATAATAATTAGCTATAGATTAGGACACACACACACACACATATATATATATTACATATATATATAATATATATAATATATATATATATAAATAAATATATGTGTGGATGTGTGTTATGAGCAAATGAGCACCAAAAAACATGATGGGCCGAGTTCAAATGTGTGAATGTGTACTAGGTTACTAGAGAGAGTGAGTGAGTTAGTGAGTGAGTGAGGCTTTGGGGCACTTCCGCAGTTTTATGCCAGAGTCCCTGGAGCGCCAAAGGGAATCTCGGCTAATCTTCAAGAAACATGCTCAATTGCATGAGTAAGGAGAGGATGGCACGGCTGTATGATTGCAAAAGTGCCAATCTGAGGAAGAACAAATGGCTGCCCGCAGCCAGGCATGGAATTGGTATCAGCCACGTGACTTGCACTGCGCTTTGCTCGTTGCTTGAAGCGTTGTCATGAGGAGTTGGAAGAGCTTGGTTGGAGTGCCCCACGAATTCGCGCAGCATTGGTGCGTGAAGGGTGGCTCAGTGCAGAGAAAGCCCTGGACTGACAAGCAGCAACCATTTGCCTGGGCTGCTGTGTCTAAGATTCTTTGCCTACCAAGATTATTGCGGGATGAGCGTCAGTAAGTGATATGCAGTACGGGGTCAGTTTCCCGAAGCTGGAGCGCTGACACTTGCAGAAAGATCAAGCTGGCAATCGCGCATACGTGTTGCAAAGCGCAGGAAGAAGAGGAAGAGGCCATCGCAAATGGGAATCATGGCCTCAATATGCATGCACAGCTTCATGGCATGTTCTCTTAGTCGAAATCATGTTTTGGATGCTTTGGGTTTGAGGAATGTTTCTTTGAGGCGCAGCTTCAATATAATATGGCAATACGGACATATACTGTAAATTTGGGCATAATATCGACTGTGGCCAAGGTACCCTGCAGCTAGTGCCTCTTCTGCACCACGGGTTTCTGCATGCGGCCGACAGGGTTCCCGAGCACTACTCGCCGTTTCTTGTTTGCAGACCTGATGGTCATATTAGTCTCATGGGCAGAACGACCTGTGGTCTCATAGACTCTTTTTGATTTCAACGCATTTCAATTGTGGTCCCAAAACCAGGCAGTTCTGGATGCTGAGGTCATGCCAGCACTCTGCCTCTTCACAGGTAGATCCTGGTCACCAGCTACTCGTTTTGACCTCTTGAGCGCTTTTTGTATGCTTTTGTCATGTTTTCATAGTGTTTGCATGTGTTTGCTGCTGCGAGGTGCTGTAGGGTTGGATGTGGACGGTAATTGTTTGGTTTGGTTCAACAAGCTGTGCATTTCTACATGTCCAAGGTGCTGCCCAGGAATCACATGCCACTGCCCATTCGCATCGTTGGACCGCAGGACGAGCAAGACAAAGGGGACCCCAAGAGTTGCTTCAAATGTTTGGGCTAGCTGATGCTAGCTGCTAGCTAAATCCAGCATCTTTTGAATCCTTTGGCTGCGTAGTGTAAGTAGAGTTTGGAGCCATGGAGTCTGCAATCTTCGCATCCGACCAGTTCCTTTGCTTCGGGATTGATATGAGGAGACCCGGTATGCTCCTTTTGGCACTGGATCGAGAGTGTGCACCTTGAATGCATAGCCTCTCCGGAGGGATCACAGTAAGAATCTAATATCACAATATATCACAATGGCAGTGATTGAGCTGACTTGAGCTTCACAAGCTCAGCTGTCCTAAGTTTGTTTAGACTCTTAAAGTTTAGACAAATCTGCAGAGCGTTCCCAAGAAGCCGCCGATACTGAGGGGCAAGGACACTATGCACTGAGACTGCGCTTAGAAGGAGGCTTCATTCGTCTTAGTGTGTCGCTTCACGACCTTCAGCTCAGATCAGTCCCTTTGCAATTTTCTCACCCCTTGACTCTGCGAAGCAGCCAAGGGTGTGATTTGTAGATAGGCTGATGAGCGGAAGCAAGGTCGCGAAGAAAAGGAATTCTACCATAATTTCTCTAATGTTGAGTGTTGAGACTAGATCGACCTCTTGTTAGGGCATGCTCACATGGAATTCATGTCAGAAGAGCATGCCTTGTATGTATGTATGTATATATATATATATCTTATAAGTATATATTTTTGCTCATGTTTCTTACACCTATCTTCCTGCACCAGTTGCTCACAGCATCCAAAGACAGAGCTATTTGAAGCACGTGCCAGACATGAGACCCTATGGCGCTAGGGCTGCAAACTCATCCAAACCGAGTGCGCCTAGGCAAACAATTTCAATGTATAAATCTATGTAAATCTCTACATTTCTCTTGGGACTTATTGGATCTTATTGGGACTTGTGTCATATGATTGTGTCATAAGCTCCCACGAAGTTGTAGCCAAGGCCTTCATGGAGCCAGAGGCCGCCACTCGCTCTATCCGGTCAGCGCTCACAAGCGTCTCTGCGAACAAAGCACTTCGCAGCCGGCGTGCTGGCAGGCCCATAGAGAGGGGCCTTTGCAAAATGATCAAAATGCTTCGCTATGAAAGCTGTGAAACGCTAATGATGATAATGATGTCAATTTGACTTCAAAACCTTCGGACTGTTTGGACCATTGCCACTTTGTGTCTTGACAGGCTTGAAGTGCGTACAGTCCGGCTATCGGCTGCGAAGACCTTGCAGAGCCACAACATGCCGAAAGGCATAGATCGCTCAATGCGTTGAATGCATTCAACGACTGCACAATCTCCTCTCACATAATTTTAGGTAAGCATGAATGTACTTATCAACAGCTTCCGAACATAAAGTTGTTCTATGTTGTTCTTGTTTGTAGGTTGTACATGACATACCTGTGGACACCAAGATTTTCTTCTGCATCCTTGTGACCCGGCAGTGAATTACGAGATGGTAAGATTTGAGCCACCAAGACGATCCAAGAGGGTTGCCATGCCCAGGCCCGCGGCAGCAACTCCAAAGATGCGTGGCCAAAGACGCCTCGAGGTGCGACTCATTCGCAACGTCGTGTTTTCTGGTGTGTGGCAAGTCATGCCATTCTGACCATTCTGTCAACGTGTTCAAATATTGTTCAATCATTTTTCATACTATTTCAGCAGAACTTGTCAACTCAAGGACTTTCCGGGATTTCTGGGTGACAGTGGCACTTGTCAAGCCCACACAGAAGCTTCCAAGCATATCCTGTGCAGGGGCTGCCGAGCTGGGGAATACACGGGATGACCCTCGCTTGCAATCAATCAGCATGAGTCAAGCTGCCGTCGCTTCTGTGCTGATTGAAACATATTGAAACAGTCTGATGAGACTGTCATGCTCATGTTTTGAATTGTTTTGAGCTATTGTACACGACACACTGCGTCTGAGGATATTGCGCGGTCCATTATAGCAGCACTGACAAGTCACAGAAATGTTGCAGGCAGATGAGGGCACAGATACTGTAAGCAATGATTTGCGGATCGTGTCTGCAAGTTCATAGGAATGATGTTTAAGGATGTTGTTTGGAAAGAGGAAGAGGCTGGATAAGACTGGAAATTTTATCAGATCTCCTGCATTGAAGCCTGTCAGGCAACGACTCGGCAGTGGTGCTGGTTTTTGAGGACACACGAAGGACGCAAAGCAAGATGTGGTGGGCATCTCGCCATTCAGATTTTTCATTCAGAGACAAGTGGGACAAACTTGCACACAAGTGCACTCGTTCTTAAATGCTGTTCTTTTGTTGGAAGTCCATGTGCTGCACGGATATGCATGGATCATGTTCGACGCGTCACATAGCGGGTTTGGACCTGTGATGGCCTGTGAGGTCTTGCGCAAAGATTTTTTGGAGGATTTGCCGGTGATTGCAGAGCAGCTTGCAAAAAGCGAGACCCGTTTTCCACAGAGAGACACAGAGAGATGACAGATGACATGGCGAAGGGTCCAACTCGCTGTTTCTCAGGTACACCGTGCTTCGAAGGTGCCAAGTACTTGCAGAATTCATGCATGCACAGGACCATTGAAATCATTGAAAAACCGGAACCGGAGTGATTCAATGCAATTTCAACCTCCACTTGTGCTTTCACTAATGACAAACCAGCCCGAAGGAGTCTGCAAACAGCCCAGTACTTCAGATGGCTGAAGCAAGGCTTGGAGATTAAGATGTTTTTCCCCTGTAGTTCCTGAAGTCAGTTATGAATTATCTAAACCCAAGAGCCATGAAACCAATGGTTTCTTGCAATGCTTTACGTTGTGGGGCGTTCAATGGTGCAAAGGGAGGTGCGATGATAGGGTACAGTGGTACGATGTATGTGGTACAGTGGTGCGGTGTCATGGTGCGTGTGTGGTGCGATGGTACGGTGCAATGGTGCGATGGTACGGTGCAATGGTGCGATGGTACGGTGCAATGGTGCGATGGTACGGTGCAATGCCCCATTGTACCAATTTGTTGCACCAGTGTAACCCATCGCACTGCACCGAAAAAATTGCTGCCAAAAGGCGTTTTTTTGCTACCAAAACTTGCGTTTTTGTTGACAAAAAACGTTTTTTTGCTATCAAAAATGGTGCAGTGGGCCGGGTGCAGTGGTACAGTTGACTGGTACCCTGGTACAGTGGTAGGGTACAAGTCAGTAGATATGTACCATTGAACCGCACCATCGCACCGCACCATCGCACCATTGCACCGCACCATTGCACCCTTACACCGCACCATCGCACCACATGATCGCCCCAGTGTACCAAGTCAGTTGCACCTCCGAAAAGCATGTTTCGTACCATCCGGGGGATAGCCACAAGAGCATGGCTCTTGAGTTTAGATAAGTTATGAATAATTCAAAGAGTTCCCAACAAAGCGTCCTTGTAGCACTCCCCGCATATCCCAGTCGCACTTCCGTGGCACCAGGCCACCTGGAGCAATGCTGTTCCCCAGCAGCAGCCTGGAAGCAACAGCTGAGGCATTTTTCAACAGCCTCGGGGCCAAAGACTCTGCGTTAGTGCCCTGGCCGAGGGAGCCAGCTTCGCCGGTTTCAGTGTATATATGTGTGATTTGTGTTCAACAGATCCCACTGCCACTGGACTATCTGGACTTGTACGAGGTGCTACTGGATGAGAACTTCTCCCCACTGCCAGTGGCAGCAGATGTGGGCAAAGGAGATGCAGCATCAGTTTGCAGAGTGGAATTGTGAAAGCACCGTACAAATATATTATATAAAATTATATATATAATATATTGAACATTGGAAATTCAAAATCCACATTCTTTGGATCAAAGTTTTCGGATGTTTTCGGACTGCCATGAGCTTCATGAGGAGATGACCCGCAACTTCAACGTGTAGTTTTTTTGCTTGGCTTAAGGCTGGACCAGGTCTCTGGAATGCAGAAAGGATGGAGCGTGGATTCTGGCCATGACATCATGTAGCAAGCAGTCAAAGCATGTCAAGGCGTTACAGGATAAGAAAAGCAAAAAGATCAAAAAGCAAAGATACATCAAAAATGCTTGCGATTGATTCTGGCAATATCTGGCAATAATACTCCATTCCATTTGCTCCATTCACTCCAGGGAACAGCTGAGCGATGAGCAGTTGGATGCTTTCACGAGAGGAGCAGTGCCGACCTCGGTGCTTGTTAAAGGAGAGGAGATTCCATAGATTCCATAGAACGCACATGAATGCATAGAAAGGCCAGTTTTTCCCTGAAACTGACTTGAACCGAGCATTTTAGGTTTGAATATGTTTGAATCGCAGCTCTTTGCCAATGGATCCAATGTTGGGCGAAACGATTGGAGCGCACCTTTTTTCTGCATTGCACTCCTTCAAGGAGCGTGCAGCCTGGAAGATCTTGCGCCGAAGCATGGGATGGGTGGCCGAGTTCACCTCAAAGATCGTGGCACGATTGCAGGTCCCAGAGTCTTGCTGCAAAATGCTGCTTTTTACATCTTTTTACCATGGCATCCATAGCAGATAATATAATAGAGTATAGAGCATACAATAGCATATTTACCATTCCAGGCCATTGAAGGCTTCACGGGTGCACTCCATCTATGGTGTTGTATAAGCATGTATAAGCTACATGGCTTGGATGGATATTTAACTCATTTAAAAGCACCATGTTGACAGAGAATGTAAAGGTGATAGGGGCCAGGGCTGTGACAAGTTGCGTTTGCCGAAGGTGCTGCACAACTGCAAGCAGCTGCTTCCTGCTTTGAGCCTTACTGAACAGAAGGATTTGGAGTTCCCACTTTTGAGACCTTGCAGGGTGCGTGGTTGCCGTCAACACTAATTACGCACACAACATCACACCACATCAAACGGAAAGGATGCGGACTTCTGCAAATTTATCTTGGGTGCAGGAATTCCCGGTCTCGCTTGGCTGGCCATGTCCACGAAGCTTCTACCTTACAGATCTTACAGTATTTTGAAATGCTTGGACATTTTTGGACTGTTTGGAGTTTGGACTGTTGGCTTTTTGGCCACGGACAAATGTGACAAATGTTGGATTATCTTGGATTCATATGAGGTGCGTGAGCTTCAATCGAGGTCGAGAAGGAGAGCTATTCATCCGCGATGGACCATTGGTGCACTTCGTTCTCCCAGCAGATTTGAGGCCAGGGCATGGCTGATATGCTGATATGATACTGTATGCCTCAAACATCCTCAAACATTTGAGTCAGCCTTCAGATCATCCAGTCTTTACTCGTCTTCTTTGCTGTCCCGAAGTGAATGTATTATTTGTTTTAAATGTGAAATTTGGTGTGTCAGGTTGGATGACTTGTCTTGCGATCCCACGAGTCCCATGGCTGGCATGAGTCTTAGCCGTCTTAGATCGTCTTAGCCTGACCATGATTCGCACAAGACTAGAGACATGATGAGACATGGGTGTTTGATGGTGTTTGCACACAGAACAGCGCGTGTCCTTTCAACTTTTGAAGTGGTGACTGTGATGTTTAAATGGTTGACTCATGCCCACTTTGATCAGTTGTGAAGGGTTTCCTCCCTGTGCTAGGTGCCTGCAGCCTGATAGCAAGAAGCTGCATCGCAGGCCCAGCTGGAAGAAATCAGCATGATTGGCCAAACGATGCCAAACGCATTCGGTCATTTCGGTATATTTCGGTCGTCACCACCGAACCTGTGAGTTTGACTCAAGTGTTCAGCAAGCCAAGGGCCCCATAGGGCCCCTCCAATCCAAAGCTGGAGATTTGCGCGGCGACATTGGCCTTCAGCGCATGTTTGGCTCAGGGCTTTGGCGAGCACACCATGCCTGGGATAGATGCCGCTTGTCATTTGCCAGCGCCTGAACACTTTCATGAGCTCGTGTAGCCCTTCGGAATTGAAGAGAACCCAACAACTACGCATACCATTGGAATCTGATCAAATTGTTGACTTAGTATGACTTAGTACTGAGTGTGGGCGAGCTGTGGTGAGGCCTTCAATGATGGAGCCGTGGTCACAGTTACTCGACGCTTGAAGGGCCGATTCCAGGGCAAGCGACAGATGGAGTACCATGTCTTGAGGGACCGTGCTTGAAGTCGGAACCAGTCAAGGATGCAGAAAGCGGTGGTCACAATTTGGAAATTAGTGGGGCAATTCGGCAGGAGATGCGACGGCTTGTTGACCACGCCTTGCAGCAGGGGCCAACTGCCAAAACTGCTACACCTGGAAGGAAGGCTGTAGCAGCGAACATCTGAGAGCCAGTAAAGCAACCACTATGATGTGAGACAGCAGCAGCATATATGACACGGTGACCATCAGTGAGCTCCTGGAGATGGCGATGGAGAGAGAGAGAGAGAGAGATCATTTGAATTCATTTGATAGCAGTTGCCCCTGTTGCAAAGGTCCAGTTAAAAAGTGGTGACTTGTTGCCCGACTTGCCATACAGGACTGCTTCATGCAGCGCATATATGCCAACACATGCCCTGGTGTATCATGACAGTTCTTGCATGGCATTCCAGTGTTCCTCGATGAACAATTTTGTTGTGTCGTGTTCTTATGCCGCGAAGAATCTTCACACCGTGCATATCCTGAACATTCCTGAACACTCTTATCACTCTTCGCGTCCTGAGTCCTGGATGACGCACCTTGAATTGTTGGCCATATTAATACTATGCATGTGCAGTATCTTTCCATGTTGAGTGCCAAACTTGGAAGCAGTATCGCACGCAGGAAGGATGGGACCATTGAGCTACACCTCCATTCACATCATTCACATTGCTCGACTGAATCCCGGCTACAATTGGTTGACTTGGGTGTCATTGTCTACTTGCACGTGTAGGTGAAGGTGACTTTAAACTGACGGAGCAGATGTCAATCAGCATTTACCATCCAGTTGCTTGTGCACGAACTATCAGAATCTTCTAGGATTCTAGGTAGGAGCAATGGTATTCCAAAATGTTCAACCGCGTGGCGGCGCCAAGGACCTTGCAGAGATAGATCCGACGGCGCCAAGGCTGGCTGAAGACATCCTGCAGGCCGGCAGATCCAGCAGCAGTTCGCAACAGCCTGGACCTTACTGCAACACGGAAGCCGCCCAAGACGGCCCCAAGGTTCTTTGGGATCCGATTCCGCGTGAAGATGGACAACCTAGCTGTGAGCTGCCAGCATATGCCAGCATTAGGAGTCAGAATTTGTGGGGATTCTGCGTGGGATAGTTCTGTTATATAATGCCTCCTATTACTAAAACATACTAAAACTCCACCATATAAAAAAAAGGATTGGTGTAGCGCTTCTGGTTTTTCTTGGCTGGGCACAATTGGATTCTTAATTGTGGATATTGTGGTAATTGAGAATCAAATAGGAGGACAGGATGGTGAAACAATGGGTTCAACCCCCTATTAATAAAAATAGATTGCCACCTGGAGGTTTGTTTATTAGGGTCCCATCTCACAAGTTTTATTTGTTATTCTTATTATTAAGGTTTTCATTGGAATATTAGGGGAAAGCTTCGAAATCCAGTGTTTGGCAATATTATATATATTATATATATATATATATTTAATAAGGGATTTATATAATCAAATTTGAAATCGAGTTTTTTATTTTTATTCATGTTGTCTAGCCAATAGTGATATCTTGTCAATAGTAGAAACATTTTTCCGCAACTCCAATTTTTCTCCAATACTAAAAGTCAATTAGCTCCATTTACTTTTAGTATTGCCAAACGAGTCATGTTCAGACCTTGTCCAGAGGGCATGGCCAATAGTGGACCCAACATGGCAATAGTGGAAACTGTTTTCCCAACTCCAATTTTTTCTCCAATACTAAAACTCAATCAGCTCCATTTACTTTTAGTATTGCCAAAAGAGTCAAGTAAAGCAAATCCTTTTCAAAGCAGCCTTCACTTTTGATTGGCAAAAGCTTGGATTTCAGAAATCTGATCCAATTACCAAACAGCTGATTTCCTTATAAAACCCTTATTAAAAAAAAACAAGAAAACAGGTCCACAAAGGGTACCCCCTTTGCAAGCCCCAGAATAGCAATAACAAACCTGCACCAGGCATGGCAATAGTGGAAACTTTTTTCCGCAGCTCCAATTTTGTTGTCCTCCTTCTCCTTCTCCTTCTTCTCCTTCTTCTCCTCCTTCTCCTCGTCCTCCTCCTTCGCCTCCTCCACCTCTGCCCCCACTTCCATGTCCACTTCCGCCTTGCCAACTCTTCGCCAATCTCTCAGAAACCCAACCAAATCCATTCAGAATCTATCAGAAACCCAACTAAACCATGGAGAATCTATCAGATACATATCATGATCCCAGCCATAAGGTTCCAAAAAATTACTATTGGAATGCTGACCCCCCTATTTAAAAAAAAAATAGGGGGGTTACTATTAGGCAGCCTAAATATTTTCATTGGAATATTATAGGGGAATGCTTCGAAATCCAGTTTTTGACAATATTTTACATATAAATTTTAATAATCGAGTTTTTTTAATGTTTATTATTAGTTTTTTTTTGGGAATTTTAGGGGACAGCTTAGAAATCCAGTTTCTTGCCATATTTTATATATATTTTAATAAGGGATTTAATCAAATTTGAAATCGAGTTTTTTTTAATTAGGGTTTTTCATTGGAATATTAGGGGCACCCAAATGCAAAATACCCCCTAATAATAAAAATAGATCACCATGTTTACCATTTGGGTGGGTGTTTTAGTAATAGGGAGAGAGGATTTGCTAATGTTTCAGGAAAGAATGAGAAGATGTGCATCAACAGTGCTGGGCATCCAAGGTATGATTTTGCTATGCTATTTGGGTGTGGCAAGGTGCTGGAACTTCCAGTCTATGCGCAATCAGTATGCAGCAGGTCTTCGTGGCTGCAGCACTGAAGAGCCTTTCGCGGCAACTCATTTGCAAATCTTCATGCGCCTCATTCAAATGTCATTCAAGGATGTGTATGCTATAACCCATAGGATCCATGTATGCCATATATGGTAACATTTACCATTAATATACCCCCCAATGTTAGTATATATATACCATACATGGATCCTATGGGTAATGATGCTGAACAGGGGAAACCTGGCCACTCTCTCTATCGCCCTCTCTTTGTCTTTGAGTGTTTGGCAAGTGTGGATAGTGTAGGCGGAAAAAGTGTTGAGTGTTGAATTTGAAGGTATAACACATACTGACATACTGTGAATGGCATGTGTTGGCGTCAAAAACATGAAAGACACGTACTCTATCAACTGAACCTCAGGCGCTGACCTCTTTGCAGAGCGCGCTGCTGGGAGAAGATGGTTCTGGGGTTGTGTTGCTGTCACAACTGCTCGTCCCGTTGCAAAAATGGCCCGGAAGCTTCATGGACAGCCCTGGTCACCAAAGGATAGCAGTCAACTGTTGGATTCTCCAACATCAGTGATTCGCATTCAGAATAGGATTAATAGATATTTCAAGCACAGGGTAATAGAGAATTTTGAACTTGCGTCCAGAACATGGTGCTGAACTAAATTTATATAGTGTATTTGGTTGACTACGCTTGCCGCATCTCTTCATCTCGTCACACTTGGTTCAAGTGAAGAGCCAAGTCTTTTGGATGATGGAGGACATGCCCTCCTTATCGGAACGGCCCAAATGGGAACTGAGCCCAGTGCAGCAGCTGAAAGTCGCTGCGTATCGCCGTGACCTGGGCAACGCTGAAATGCGTCAAGGCCACCCGGAGAAGGTGCCCGCTGCAGCTGCATCATTTGCCGATCGTGTTCTGCGCAGAAGTTTTTGGATGTTTTTGGTAAGGCAGTTGATGTAAACTCTGGGGAATTTGACGGAATTTGACGGAATTTGACGGAATGGGCGGTTCAGATATGTTCCAGGTGTATGTTCAGGTCGTTTTTTCCCATCCGATTGGAGCTGATATGGAGCGTCTTAGCGGATAAAATCTTTCTAGACGCTTGATGATGATTGCAGGCCTTCACACTTTACAAGAATGCCCTCTTCATGGTAGAGTTTGACGAGGAGTCGCTAAAAAGCGTTGTTATCGGTTCTTTTTTCCTCCCACATCCTACTTGTAGCACCGAATTTTGGCAAAACTTCACAATTGCGAACACAAATTGAAACCCTACTGATCCTACCCACAGGATTTCGAGGAACACAGTGATGAGGAAGACGCAGATCATCATGAGCTGCCGCCGCTGGAAGATGTTCATGCAGAGCGCGTACGATGAAATTAGGCTTCAATTGGCAGGATCAATATGGATCAATCAGTTTTCGTTTCGTTTGACATATTTTTGGCATATGGGCACCGGTTTAGCATGCTTTAGCTACTGGTTCAGAAAAGGCCCTCAATAACATTCAAAAACACTTTGCTGACAATGGAATAGGAGATAGGCAGACTTGAAACGCACTTGGTTTTTGTTGTGAGTACTATTCGGCACGTCTGCCTTGATCTAACATCAACGCACTGGATGGTCACGGCCAAAATGAGGCTTGAGCAACTTGGCTGCGGCATCCCTCGCTGCGTTGGACGAGACCAGGGAGGAACCCAGCATTGAGGGCTACGCAGGTGGAAATGGTGGAAATTGGAAGCCTTCAGCTTTGATTCGCTGTAGCTTTGAATAGCTTGAAATGGCTTTGATGTTGTCCTTGAGAAACGTGAACGTGAGAGGCAAAGCAAAGAGATATTCACAAAGAGCACTGAAGCTGAAGAAAGATGATGCCAAACTGTGGCTACTTGCATGCAGACAGATGTGTCAAGGAAATCATTCTCCATCATTCTCCCTTTGGCTTTCCACAGACGCAGTAAAGTGACAGATCAAGTCAAGATGAGATGCCTATAGATGCCTTCTGAATTCTGAAATGCAGATCCACAAGGTTCCGGAAAGGCAGGGCTGAACTTTTGCTTGGAGAGATATCCACAGCTGCAACCAGCTTTGCCGAAGCAGCTCGCATGTCGCTCCTTAGCAGGAACAAGATCGAACATATCGAACTGCTTGGTGTTTTGGGCGTGCCACTGCTGTGTTTCGCTGCGAGCGGCTGGACGGTAGGATTCACCGGATTCATTGGGCATTTTTCAGGGATATTGTTGAGCCAAGTGCCAGCGGAGTGCCGGATCCGCTGAGGCCACAGGATCCCAATGTCCGGAAGTATTTGCAAGAGGCCTCCTATGGCCTCCTGACGGCCTCACAACTTCCAGTGCCTCATTTATCACAATAATTGTCACAATCATTGGGGGACCAAAAGGAGAGTCAGAATATGAATGTTTGATAATGTTTGCCAACCTGCATTGAAATCTTCAGTACTCGCAATTCGGCAGTTCTTTGCGACAATGGATGCAACATGACTTGCGCAGGCACGTGCAGCTTGCCAAGCAGAGCGTAATGCCTGCCGATCCATGGAAAAAGCCATGAGCGACACAAGTAGTTGGGTTGATGATCTGCAAGAAACGTCCAGGCGGGGACCTGCTTTGATCGCAGATCATTCACAATTGTCTTGAAGTGAAGGATGCGGGTTTAATGAGACTGCTTGAGTAGCAGCTGTTGTATATAATTGTTATAGAAACCAGATTTGACAATGCGCCTGTCCTTTGCAAAAGCTTTTGTTTGGATTTCCTGCACGTGGAGTGAGGAATCAGCTGAAGCCAAAGAAGGAATATGCTTCAGAAGAGGCCAGTGGAAGCATCGTACTTGTAATTTCATAATGAAACTGCAAGAAGAGCCATTGAAATCACTTAAAAACATAAGTGTTATTTCTTCGGTGTTTGGGGTCTTGAGCACTTAGAAAAAAAGGAATTCTTGTTGAAACAATGCCCAACCCATGCCCACCCATGCCCATCGTGAGGAGCGGAAAGCCGACATTGAGTACAACAAGCGGCAGCTGCTGTATCACTTTGAAAAGGCCAAAGTAAAGCCTGAAAGTGACTGTGAGGAGCAAGATGAAGAGCTGGAACTAAAAGGATGAGCTAACAGGCTACCAGTCTAACAATCCACGCGAAGATGGCGTTCTAAACTATTCTAAACTCTAAATATGCTCATTGACACCACTTGCCTTTGACAAGCTCAGAGCGGTGCCGCCTTTGCTCAATGTTCCCACTTTTGCCGCAGCCATGAGCATCATTAGACATGATGTCCCAGACAATATATATTTGGTGGCTTCCCACTGTCATATATCATTTCTCATGTTAAGTTATGATTGTGGAACATGTCTTGCAGGAGTACCTGCATCTATTTGCCATTGGCTTTGCAGTAGTGTTTTTTCGCTAGCAGTAGCGCTCATACCCTTCACATTTCCTACCGTTGAAAACTTGACAAACGGATGTTCAGACCAATGCCATGGCTGACGTATCCGCTACCTTGCTCAATTGAGAGTTGTTTGAGCTGAGAGAACTCAAGGATTTTCAAGGTAAACTTCTTACATCACCACTCGCTGGTACCGAAATGCAAGTCTTGCAGCCTCAGGCGGTTGCACCGCAAGAATTCTTGGCGAGAAAACGGCAGATTTTGGCTTCATTGGACCGGAGCGGCTTGGCCAGCGCACAGATACATCGAGTCTATTTTGGTCTGATGTTTACAGGAGCCCAGGAGGACTGGTTTTTGCATGTAGGCCTGAAATGGCTTGAAGACTTCTGACTGAGGCCCAAAAGGTTCACTGGATGCTCCGATTGTTGTGGCCTCACTGAGACCTGAGATTTTAGCGCGTGACAAGATGTGACACGGCCGACGGTTGATAGAGTGATCTTCGGTGCCCAGGTAGACTTCCTCAACTGGTTGAATGAGCAAGAGCGAGTTGGACTCTCAGTTTTCCAAGACTTTTGAGTCCTGCATAGTCCAGCTGCCATAATATAGAGCCAGGCCCAAAAACTAGCCGCATAGGTCTATCCCACAAACTTGTCTATTCCCAAACTGTGTAAAGTTACTAGAAAGATTCAAGCTATTCAAGCATCATCCAGGCCACTGTAGAACTATGAGTGTCCTTCATTCCCTCGCTAAAAAATCGTAATGCAACTCACAGTTTCATAGAAATTTACTGGAGTTGGATAGAATTGGTATATGAATCAGCATGCCCTTGCTGTACAAGGTAGTCACCACATCCTCCTGCAGCGGCCGGATCGCCATATTTCATGGCTGTGCACCCAGCCTGCCCAGCTATCAGAAACCACCAGCAATGTCAAGCCGCTCTGTCGCTGGGGCTGAGGCTCTGCCGACACAGGTAATTCCAAAGGTGGGCTGCATGTGCGGTGGCAAAACGGGGTCCAACATGGGATTTAATTACATGGGATTTACATGGGATTTACTGCACATTTACTGCACATGATTGTACAGCTACCTCGTTGATGAGTTTCTTGTCGTGCCCGCCATGCCCGTCTCTCTAATCCGTCGGGGCATGCCGAGACCCATTCCAGGCGGACAGTGGCTGCTGCACTGCCCTTAGTACATTTTTGTTTGTTTTTAGAGACTGTGGCAGAGCTGAAGCGTTCGAGCTATAACATGTTCTTGGAAGCTCAGGGCTAGCCACAGCACGGTGGAGAACCCTGGGAAGACCTGGGAGGAGATACAAGAATGGTCCGGAACTTGGAGATAGGGTTGAAGGATGGTTAAAAAATCAGATAATACGGTCCAAGTTGAAAGTTGTTCCGTGTCATTGGAGCATGCAAGGCTGCAAAGCCACAGTGGGCAAGATACCCTTGCCAAATCCCAAGGGTTTGATGGTCAACTGCCGGCTTCTTTTTTGCAGCTGATCACATCGAATCATGCATGGATTGTTGAGGGTACATTGACAACGCTGCTGCTGGAGCCCTTTGTGCTGCATGCTGAATGCCATCAACTCGGGAGATCAGGCTACCATAGCCTGCCTGTATCTACCTTTATCTACCTGTACCTACCTGCCCCTTTATGTTACCCTGGCAGTCTTCAGCGGTTATATACATCTTCAACTTTAACCGAGTCATTTGTCCAAGATGGCAAATCACCGTGACCCATTGGTCAAATCATTCTTGCCAAGATGTGATAAGATATGATCAGATACGTCATGTTGTATCATAGTACTGTATAGTCGTATTGTATAGTAGTGTACAGTATGTTGCTCGTACCTCTGAAACGTGTGTAAGTCCTGCAGCAGCCAAGTCAGTGAAGAGAGCTGAGGTGCAGATGCGGGTCTTGCTCAACACATGCTCAGCGTGGCTCGGGAGGTGCCGCAATACAAAGTCTGTGCTCTCCTTGTGCCAGCTCAACCATACTGAACTAGAATGCTTAAGTTTTAATTCGGGGGATCCTTACCACTGGATTTGCCCGCAACTGGGACCAGGCTGGCTTCCGTGAGAGTGGCATCAGCAGGACACTCGGACACTCAGTCAATCAGATTCAATCAGTCCTCTTGGATGACTCAGATGCAGCAGGAGTACTAGCTGCATCTAGCTGCCTCAGACTTGAGGCCTGGGGCGCAAACGTGTGCTGGTGCAGATTCGCACGCTGGCCATTGGCTCGAACAGAAAACGACACTTCTCAGTTCAAATACTTGCCATGTCGGACAAAGCGGCTTCAACCTGCAGAGAACTGACCTGAAGCACCTTGGTTCAGCTTCGTCTCAGGCCATGAGGCTGGAGGTGCCACTTGCCATGGATGGCCAACTCTTGGTGGATGAAACCTACTTTCAGGTGGCGTCCTCATACGCCCTCCATCATTTTCAAGGTTGTCACAGTTGTCACCCAATTTTGCTGTAAAGATGCCTATGATATCAGCTATATCCTATTGAGTACACTATGATGATTTGACTATGCTGAGACTCTCATCAGACTTGCCAATCAACGGTTGGACGAGAACCTGGCCCGCACAAATCCTCAGGGCACAGAAGTTGTCTCAACCTGTTCTCTTGTTCCCTTGCGCGCAATTTTTACGACACGTTTTTTTACTCGAAATGTCTGGTGATTTTCAGAAGATTGACATGTTGCCCACTCTGAGGTACAAACCGACTGTGGATGAAGTTGAAGGAGGCATCCAGTACGGTGATTGCTTCAACCAGTCAGATTCAAACACATTCCATCACCTTCCGTCACCTTCCATCACTTTCCACGACCTTGAAACGTATGGGTTGAAATTGGAGACGTTGCAAAGGCCTTCAGCCGCTGCGCAGTGGCTGCACAGGAGCAAGAAGCCCAGATTCACTCATGGCAGACCCCCAGAAAAAGGAAGGAACCCAGCATGCCACAGTCACAAGTTCAGTGAGGCTATGGGTTCTGGTGTGTGCACAGTTGCACGCGTGAAGTCCTCAGTTCAGACAATGCAAGACGGAGCACTGTTTCCTCCAATCCTCTAATCATCTCTAATCCTCCATCCCATTATTTCCATTTGTCCCGGAGGCGCTCGGTGAAACTGGCTTTGGAAGGTCATGCGTGGTTGGAGTGGCCCTCAGAGTGCTTCAGTAGATGCGGCAAGAATCAGAAATAGCTGAAGGCCTTAGCAGATTTGCAGCTGGCATCCACCATCATGCATCATTCTATGTTCCCCAGAGGGTTCGGGGTATTTTGGGTTTCATGTTGCTCCTTTGTGCCAATTAGCAATTAGCGAAGAGAAATTTGCCTCAAGGACGACAATCGCAAGATGCAGCGCTTAGCAGGCTTCAAGAAGTAGCCGCATACAGGACATATTCGGATTGAAATCATGAAACCAGCGATTTTCATGTCGTTGATTCCCCTTTTTTGTTGGAAGGCAACATTTGCTTTGGGCTGTGTATTGACATGTGTTGACCAAGAGTGATGTCGACCCAACAAACCTAGATGCCTGTAGGCGGCGATGAGAAAGGGGCCGACGACGACTCTATAGGCAGAAAAGTGCGCAAGCATTTGCTGCCATATACTGTAGTCATGGCATGGACGCGGCAACAGGAAAATACAGATAGCCGCTGTTTGAACAATCAGTGTCCCAGACCATGAATAGCTTAGCTGCTACAGATGAGAGTGAAAAGCGTATTTGTTTGACAATCAGGCCTACCATTGACTCCTGAGGGTGTTGAGAATCTGAAGGCTTGGGCAGTCTCGCACTTGCGAGCTCGAAGATACAATGCTCATTCTAAGTATAGATAATACAGTAATCTAAGTAGTCTATATATATATGACACATACATTTGCGCATGGGTGATCATAGATGTATGATATACGTATGTATATGCACACCCTCAAAAGATTGAAAGTCTGCTTGAGTTGGAAGAGTTTCGTTTGGTTGGAAGGCACTTGCAGAAACTGTAGAGGAGGCAGGGGCAACGTGTCTAATTAATTACGTTGATGTCCGCGCAAGTCGTGCTAGTGAGCTAGTGTGAGCTGTACATACTGTGGCTACTTGTGGATCTTGTGACTTGTTGGGAATAACTTGTGAATGCAAGGAGATGGCTCAGCGCGAGCCCGTGGTGGAGGACCAGCGCGGCATAGGGTGGTGGTTGCAGCATGCCGCATCGCAAGGTTTGCCTCGTCCAGGAGACCAAGATCAATGACCAAGCTGACCAAGCTGCCCAACCCGCGCAGGGAAGCAAACTGCCCAAGCGCCAACGGCCACCAATTGAAGCCGCCAACTTGGAGGCGTGGGACTTTGCGATTTGTTGTGACTTCATGCTAGCTGCTACAGTATAGCTTATTATTGTGGTGGACTGATATGCAAAAGGATGCCTGATTTGTTCAATTGTAGGTTGAAGATGGTTGAAGCTTTTAAAATGACCTGAGGCACTTTGGCGCCAGGGGTCGCTTCGGCTTACACAAGCAGAGCTCGAGACTCAATCCTCAAATATATTTTTGCTGAGCTATATATAATATATATATATACAGTCCATTACATTCCAGTGCTCCTAAGCTACTTTTCCACTTTTGCAAGGCTTCCTTTGAAGTCCAGACCAGCACCGTGTTGGGCTGAGCCAAACAGATGCGCCAGACTGGAAAGCTGGTTTGTGGCCAGCGCTTGACAGGGCTTCTGGCTTGCACTCGGGTGTGTGGGTCTTAGAGCAGTTTGACATTTCAGAGACAGCACTGCCAGACGCACACCAAACAAGCAAACCCACCTGCTTTGCGCATGAATGATCATGAATGCATTGTCTCAAGATCCATTGCATTTCATTCTTGATCATGACGACATATGTTACTGTATATTTTGACCAGCATACAGCTGCACAATCGCACTCGCAGGCAAAGGAACGAAGTCTTGAACAGGCTACTTCCATTTGATTTCCATTTTACGTTGTCACCTGTGCCACGAACATTAGACCCAGCATTCTTCATGGTAGGTCCTCAGAAACCTGATTGATGAGCTGAAGCCGCCTTTGGATGTCAGCGTGCCAAGTTCATTGGGATCATTTGGGATCATTAGGTATTCATGATTCAATGACGATATTGCAGGTATTCATGTCCACACTTGGGGAGAGAAGCGAGTCCTGGGTTCAATTGGCAGTTTCCATTCTTGAGGTAACCCTTGCCGACACTTTGCTCAAGGAGGCGGCATCTCGCACGGCTCGCTCACGCCTACTTACTTCAGCACATTTGGATAGTTCCTGCCGACAGATTTGTGAAATGCCTTCCGTTCTGTGGCGTCGAATGCTGAGTTGCAGCATGGAACTTCCAACTGTGCCTGAAAGATTCATCGAGATTCCATCTCATGAGGTTAACATGGATTGGAACATTTTGCTTTTAGATGTGTATCGTAGTAATGGTAGGAATAGAGTGTAGAGTATGTGGATGCATGATATGTTTGATTGTTTCAGTTTAGGTGGTGATGTGGCTCTACTGACCAGAGGGGCGCTCACAGGCCCAGCAGAATGTAGTCTTTTGGCAATTTTAGCTCATACCTTGAATCAGAAAGTTTGAACATTATTGCTGGTTACCTGTTTTCAGGACTGGTTACGTTTGCTCATCACGCTTTCACACTGTCCAGGCAGCTCCTGGGAAACAGTCGCACTTGCTGCCGAGGCATTGGCTCGTGGATGTATGTAGTGAGATTCGCTTGTGCATTTTCCTATCCTTGGCCGGGGGCAGATGTCATGCTACTTGCATGCAATCCAGAATAGTGGCAGGATGTGGCAGGGACAGAGATTGCTACAGTAAGTTCTATGATGGTTGTAGGTAACAGCAACAAATACAAAACGATCAGGTGCACCACAGATAGCCGTAGTTGCGAAGGCGTTGCCTGGAGGCGGCTTGCCAGTGGTCTCAGCATTGACAGTATTGACGATTGACACACTATTTGTAGATGGAGTTGTTATGATGGACTTTGGAGAAAATGCCTGGGCGTGCACATCCACAAAGCCACAAGGCGGTCCCACTGACCAAGGTGGGAGCGGTTCCGGCAGTGCTTGGGTGCCCGGATGTTGGCGAGGCAGCAGGAGCGAACAGAAGCGTCAGTTGAAATCCATGGTGTTTGATTCATTTTGAATCCTGCCAAAAAGATCCAAAAGATCCAAAAAGCACTTTGGGCCGAGTCGCCCCCTTGATCCTGCATGCCTCGTCGACACTGCACTTGCTGAGGAGATCCGGGTCGATGACGAAGTGCGAGGAGGAAATGTACAGGCCATGCATCCGCAAAAGAAAGTGCATGGATTGCATGGGAAGGTGAGGGTGTAGGGGGTTAGCCGAGTACAAGTCCAGTGGCAAATCGAAGATGTCAATGTATACCGTATAGAGTATTTCTTGGATGCCCCAAGCGAAGTCGTGCTTTCTTCAAGGCATCACATTCCTATAATGTGTTGATTTTAGATCCAAAAATAACGGCCCCCGGAATCTTTGCGTATTTCCCATGGACAGCCCTTTGTCAAGAATTGACAGTTTGTTTGTGCCATGCATGCACCACATCAGGTTGCTCCAGGATCAGATTGATATTGATGACAGTAACTCATTGTTTTCAATTCAATCCTTATGAAGAGTGAGGATTTCATTTGAGACTGTCATAGATTGTCATGTTTTTGCTTCAGACTGGATTGTATGGACCCATCAAACAACGATGCCAAGGTTGCCAGCCCGTTTCTTGGGCCTCCCTAGGGCCTGATTAGCAGGCATTGACAAATAGGGACATGAATAGGACATGTGAACATAATTGCCTTGCATATTGTTCGACCATGTTCAACCCAGCTCGCTAATTCCTCCACAAATTTGAAGAGCGGCCACAGTGAACTCTTCTCCTACGCTGCTACAGCAAATGATAGCAAATGACATCTCCAGTTGATGAGATTATTGACAGGTACTTGCAGGCAGTGGCAGCGGATGGGTGGTTGTGCTGCGCCCTCAGATAGAGCTCAGACACAGCAGCTGACATGAAACAGAAGTATCCAGTGATGTCCACACAGATATGATATGACCATGGAACCAGATGACAGGCCTGGCCCCAAAGGTGTGCGATACAGCTTTGCAGGGCACCCAGTTTTACGCGGTCAGCTGTGCTGAGGCTTCAGAGAAGTGACCCTGTCAATATGTTGTTTCTTGCCAGTCGCTGATATTTGAGAGTGTATATATATAGCTTGGTTGAGCTGGCTTACCCAGTTTTCCAATATAGGGTATAGGTCCTGCAGCATCCTCCAGCTACAGAGCGGAAGGCAGCAAAACAAACGGCACAGAAACAATGGGTTGGCTTTTTGAAGACTTTAAATTCACATCAACTGCATTCTGGAATCCTGAGGATGTCACCAAATGCATGTTCTCGGAGGGCAATGTGCGAGCCTTACAAACTGCGAATGAACATTGAACAAATCAACACAAATCATGGCCGCCGTAGGACACAGGCTGCCAATCTGACAGTGTTCAGCTTATGTCTTTTGAACCAAAGATGTTGACAAAACTGAGTAAGCACACGTAGCATTATGTAGCATTGGGACTGAAGACCTACAATTACAAAGCAGATCACGACAGGCCTGCGACAGCCCCGCATGCTGGTTGCCTCACAGCCACGTGTTTTTTTTGTGTTTTTTTCTCCTGAGGCCGGGGAGAAGGAGAGAGTGGCTACATGGCCTGTGGAGGGAGAGACCGTTCTAGACCTGTACGCAGGTGCATTCGCGCATCCCCATGCAGCTGCAGCGCATTTGCCAATCAGAGATTGGACAAGCTGGAAGAATTGGAAGACATATGAGGACATCAGTTCTTTTCTCCCACCAGTTTTGTGCACAGTTTTGTGAGCCAGGCAACCCTTCGAAAGCATGTTCAATTTGACAGCATGATCAAATGCCATCTCTTTCGTGCAAGTTACAAAGGCTCGAAGCTGGCAGTTCGGATTTGTGCCTGCACTGAACACGAGCCATATCAATGCAAGAGTATGCACAGGAAGGGCGCCAAGTTTGTAACTCGCACAAGAGGAAACGTGTAATTGGGGGACATTCAACACTCCCCACATGTTTTGACACGCAAAACTAGTTTTGACCCAAAGGGCACTTGAGCCATGGCCGCTTCCGCGGTGTATGATACCGTCCACATCGGGAGCCTCCCACCGGGCACCAATGAAAGCATCATCAAGGAGATTTTTGGGCAATATGCTCCGATCCATGCCGTGAAGGTGCTAGAAACTCCAGGACCATCAGTTGAAGCTTTGGTGGGCATCGGCAAAGAAGCCTCCAAATGGGTCGTAGACAACTTGAACGGCAACATCCCACAGGGATTTCAAACGCCAGTCACAATCCAGATCATGCCCACTGAGCAGACGTCGATTGTCCCCAGCCCAGTGCCCGTTAGCCAAGCACCACAGCCAGGCATGCCACCACGAGACAACCTGCGCATTCAAGGTCTTCCAGACGCATGCACCGATGACTACTTCAAGCAGATCTTTGCACAGTATGCCAATGTGGTTGCATGCAAGGTGGTTCCACAAGCTCCTGGAAGAGATGATTGCTTTGGCTTCATGAAATTTGGCTCCAATGAAGAGGCCAAGTACATCCTTGACACCTTGAATGGAAACATTCCCCAAGGCCTGCAAAAGCCACTTTCGATCAAGTATGCCAGTGACAGGGCTGGTTTGGGTGGCTCAGATGGCACGGAAGAAGGTGACTGGCAGTGCGAGTTGTGCTCCAACATGAACTTCCGGAGAAGAGACTACTGCAACATTTGCACCAATCCTCGACCAGCGCACTTGGCGCATGTAAAAGGTGGATGTGGTGGGACTCCTATGATGACTAAGCCAAGGACCGAAACTCCTCCAAACATTCAGTTGTACATTGCAGGCCTGCCCTTGGGTACTACTGAGGAGGCCTTGAAGCAGTTCTTCTTACAATACGGGGAAGTCTACCACAGCAAAGTTCTTCCACCCGGACCGGGCAAAACTGTGCAATCAGGCTTTGTCCGCATGCCTGAGTACGAGGCTCACTGGTGCATCGAAAACTTGCACCACTTCCAGCCTGAGGGCTTCCCCGGCCCTATGACGGTGCAGTATGCCAAGGACAAGGAAACAGGAAAGAAAGGTGGCCCAAAGGGGTACATGGGTCCAATGGGCCCAAAGGGTGGAATGGGAATGGGTGGTCCCATGGGTGGCATGGGTGGTCCCATGGGTGCCATGGGTGACATGGCTGCCTCAATGGGTGGGATGGGTGACATGGCTGCCCCAATGGGTGGGATGGGTGACATGGCTGGCCAAACGGGTGGCAAGGGAGCCATGGGCAAGAGCCCCGATGCATCCACAGAGACTGGCTTCTCCAACGGGTGTGGAGGAAAAGATGGCCAAACGGGCAAGGGCAATTTCTCAGGCCAAGGTGATGCCAGCGAAGGCAAAGGTGCTTGGGGCGTGGGTGACCAGAGTTCGTGGAGTGAATCTTGGGATGGCAAAGGCATGGGCAAGGGAGGCAAGGACGGGAAGATGGGCATGGGTTGCATGGGAAAGGGCAAAGATGACAGCAAAGGCTGCGGTGGCTTTGGCAAGGGAGGCAAGGACCCCTGGAGTTGGGGTGGCTGGGATCAAGGATGGGACCAGTGGAGTGGTTGGGGCGATTGGAGCTTTTGGGGCCCTATGATGATGAAGGGCAAGGGCAAGGGCAAGAAATCCGCCCCATACTGAGCATCCCAGACAATGAAGATGGCAGATAGTGATAGTGTATCAAAGAAAAATGGCAAACAACTAACAAAGAGTCCATACGCAAGCTCCTTTGGAAAATGTGAGTGCAGAATGTGTGGGGATGGGGATGGGTGCAAGATGTCAAGTTGTTCTCCAGGTGCGTCATTTGAAGCTTCATATCAATGGCTCCAGTGCTGCTTGAACACTTTCGTGCTGGACATCTTGACATATCCTGGGTTTGACACAGCTGCTACACAGCTGCTGGATGCTGCTGGCAGGGATTGGATTTTGGACACTTCCTTTGTTGGCTGCTGGTGCCTGATGCTGAGAACTGAACAAGCTTGTCGCAAGTTGATTGGGTCGCCAGTAGAACCGTCGTGGCATTGCTTTTCTTCAATAATATACGAGTATAATCGGATATACTGTTATACTGTATATTATGACACATGATATATGAGATACTTATTTGATTGATTTATATGTTTGTGTATTAACTACAAACCTGTGATGTGTGCATTTACATCGATCTCCATGCCTCTGTGATCAGCTACACGCTACTGACCTGAGGCTCAACATGTGTTTGCTTGCGAATGGAACCCCGATGCGCTTGAAGGTGCCAGAGTGCAATGGACCTTTCGAGGGTATTACCATGAATCAGCATATAAAAGTAACAATAAAGATGTATAAGAATGATTAAAAATGTGTAAAGATGATTAAAGATGCGCAAAGACCATAATACCACAATCCTTCCTTCAGGTTTTGCATAGTTGGATCAATGCAGAGTCTTCACAACAAGATCAACAAGGAACATGGACGCCTGGACGCCAAGGCCTTCGTGAGGGCTTGCGGCTCCTGGGCCGTGGCTCCTGTCAGGCCCATCTATACGCAGTTCATAGTATTAGAACATGTTTTAAAACATAGCGTCTTTGGGTGGCAACATTGGTCACATGTGACATTTGCCAAAGAAGACGGGGTATCGAAATATCAAAATAGAATAAGATAGAGTATGAATATTTAGTGTGTATGTATATATATATACACATGTATATTTGATTATATGACTTTGTATGCGAGTAGGCTCCGGCTCCAAGCAGGTCCTAGCGGGCGATAACAGACGACTCGAGGCCATATTTGGAGTTTGCGGCTGTGGCTGGAGTCATCCTTACAGGCCGATGGATTTGCTGCCCAGGTGGTAGAAGCAGTGCGGGACAAATGCCATCGGGTTGCAGAACTCAGTGCAAATCGGTGGGACAAACTCTGCTGTCCGCGAAGCTACGAGCATCCTTTGCTTGTATATTCACATTATTCACTGCGAAATGCTGCTGCTAATTCATGACAGCGTTTGCTCAAACATTTGCTTACTGCAAGATGCACGAAATTGATGAAAGCAAGTTGACCCCACGCCTTATCCCAACAACACCTCAAAGGCTGACAAGACTCCACTCCACCCCTGACTAATATTTCTGCCAGGGTCATTGCACAAAGGCACATGCCTGCAGACATGTTGTACCCCAATCAGCCAGTGGGTGCTCCAAGGAATTCAAGAGCTACTCAGAAGATTCGCAATTTTGACTAAGCAATGGGAATGAAGTTCAACACATGCAGATAACCGTTGAACGGCATTTGCAAAAATAGATCACAAATGATCACGTCACGATAGATCCTTTTCCCTTGCGTTGATCTAGCTGCGCGATCAATGGCAACTTTCGGTGACAGTGATGAAGAGGAAGAAGAGGTGGAGGAGACATGACAGGCAACTGCAAGTTCAAACGCAATTGCCAGAGAGAGTGAGACTATACTTGGGCATTCGTTATAAAACAACCTGGCGCACAAGCCTCCACAACTTTCAGATCAGGCACCTGCAAACATTTTTGGAGGTTTTTGGATGTTTTTGGCTGGTTTGCCCCAATGACTTCGTCAGTGTTTCAGATGCAGGACATCCGTATGGGAGACGACTCCTACTGTGGTCAACCTGTGAAAGGCTGCTGGGGCAGTGCTGGGGCCGTCAGAGATGTCACCGGATCATGACAGCTGTGGCCATGACGCTCCCCAGGTTTTGATGATTCCCAGGGCGCAGGCATTGCTGCCTTCAAAGCCACCAGCCTGAAGCCCTCTGGCCCTACGGACTTTGGCTTCCTACTAGGCACCAGGACTAAGAACTGGTCGGATGGGGACTGTGTTCTTTGCTGAACGCAAGTTTTCGAATTTCAGGCTAGGAGATACACAGAAGTCAGAAGGAAGATGAATGAACATGAACAGATTGATGATGGACATATGTGGCACAACTTGTGCGTGTTATGTATGTATAATTAAGGGGCTCCGCCCCCTGCCGCCGACCCCTGGGCTGAGCCTGCGATCAGCTTCTCCATGGCCCTGAAGGACACACACACACACACGCATATATAAAGATATATATATATATATATCTATATATACATATATATATATATATGTATGGTTATACACTGCAAAGTTAGGTGTGCGTTGATTATTACTGTATACATGGGTGCAATTCTGCTAAAGGGCTGACATGACAAAGCCAGAGTAGAAACTTGACGCAAGGGAAGGAAGAAGGAAGGAACAGCAAAAACATGATTCAGTGTTGAGAATTGTTTTTTACCCGAAGACCTGGTGACTCATCACCCCATGAAATCCCATGAACGGGGAAGTAAGGGACTTTGAATGGACCATGACTTTCCACACCCAAAACCAAAGGAAATCAAACCACCAAAGCGTTTTCACTCGGTGCTCACCGTTATAAGCGAACGTGGTCCGTTGTTTCCTGCCGAGTATATTTGTTTTCACTGCTTATGTCTTCAACATCAAGCAAAAATTGAAACAGTGGATCCCAAAGCAGTCATTAACCATACGCTGCTGCAGCGGGCTTTTCGCGCTTCAAAACGGATCTCAGAGCCTCAGTGTTTAACTTTGCAGAACACAATGCACTATTCTCTCCAAATGCAAATCACCGCAGCATACTCTGACTAGTGACTAGTGGTTTGAGGCGGTTGCAAGACATAGCCAAAAGGGGTAGACGGGTTTTTGTTTTTCTCTTGATTGAGCCGGATATCAAGCTGTGAAGGGCTACAACAATTTACTGCACACAACCGGAGACATTCGCCATGATGTCAATGGCGCATGATTGTCGCCCATGCACATGGTGGGTAAATGCCCAGCTGGAAGCATGGATGCTTCTTGGCCGAGTGGATGTGAACATCTCTTTGTTTTCTTCTCGCCTGTTCTTCCGACTTTTGTCGCTTGAAAAGGAAATCTAATGAAGGCCAGCGAAAGGTCTTTGGATTTTGAACCTTGGTGCATAAACGAGAATCGTTACTGCAACTTATTTCATATTATTTCCATTTTTTCCGATCAAGAAGGAACATGAAGGCCAAGCAAAGTTCACAGGTCTTCCTTACTTCATTTTGTACTGTCTCCAGTGAGGATAATCTTGATCAGTTTTCACAGCCAAGGTGTTTGTTCAGTGCGATGAAGCGATTCGGGTGATCCTTGACATTGCTTAATTTCCTCCTTATATGAATCCATGTGAGACTGGTTGGAAAGAATGGCATTGCTCAAAAGCTACGGTACCAAGTCATTGAATGGAACAAAAACTAAGTGGGAGCCTGGTTGCAAGAAAAGCAGGATTTCAAAGATCAGGACGCATGTGTGTGGACGTGCACATTTCTTAGAGATATCAAGACGTACTTGTTTGGGCAGGCGTAGCCCGCTGTATTGGAGGGGACGTGGGGCAAGTGCCAACGCGGCATGCTAGGATTGAGTTAATATACGTAGCACCAGTTTTCATGGTTCAGGTCAAGGTTGATGTTTCATATTATTGGCGGGTGGTCGGGTCAGCACTGCTCGAGGGTGTTAGGGTTATATTGCGTGTGTGTGTGTGTGCGTGGAGCATCTGAACAGATGTAAAACTTCGAAGCTTGCTGTTTGCAGGGGGCCAGGAACCCTGGATTGTCTGTCCTGGCCAACGAAGACTAGACAACATGGGGGTGCAAACGTACCTGCCAATTGTCGATTGTGCATAGCACCCGGCTAAGAGAACCGGACACCAGCACGAAATTTCCACTTATTTTTGCAATGAGTACGGCCCCGGTGCCAGTGCCTAACGTCACTTTCTGAACCGACTAGAAAACTAGCCTTTGAAGCCTGCAGCTGCCAGCTTTGGCGGCCGCTTCCGAAACAGGAAAACACCATGGCATGCCGGTCCCAACGGCGCTTCCGAGGCCCCGGTGCCAGTGCCTAACGTCACTTTCTGAACCGACTCGAAAACTAGCCTTTGAAGCCTGCAGCTGCCAGCTTTCGCGGCCGCTTCCGAAACGGGAAAACGCCATGGCATGCCGGTCCCAACGGCGCTTCCGAGGTCCCGGTGCCAGTGCCTAACGTCGCTTTCCGAGCCTGCTAGAAAACTAGCCTTTGAAGCCTGCAGCTGCCAGCTTTGGCGGCCGCTTCCGAAACAGGAAAACACCACGGCATGCCGGTCCCAACGGCGCTTCCGAGGCCCCGGTGCCACTGCCTAACGTCACTTTCTGAACCGACTAGAAAACTAGCCTTTGAAGCCTGCAGCTGCCAGCTTTGGCGGCCGCTTCCGAAACAGGAAAACACCATGGCATGCCGGTCCCAACGGCGCTTCCGAGGCCCCGGTGCCAGTGCCTAACGTCACTTTCTGAACCGACTCGAAATTAGCTCCAAGCTAGCCCAGAGAGCCAAACGTCACTTTCTGAACCGACTAGAAGTGAAGGACGGATCTTCTTCTTCTTCGTCTTCTTCGTTTTCTTGTTCTTCTTGTTGCTTCCTGGCTTCTTGTTTCTTGCTTCTTGCTTCTTGTTTCTTGTTTCTTGCTTCTTGCCCTTGCTGCTTGTAATGACTTCTTGCCACGGCCCCCAGTGTTTAACGTTGCATTCTGAACCTACAAGAAAACTAGCTGTCTTCCAGCCGCCAAGCTTCACAAATGGCACCTTCGCCACACCAAAACAGCAGGGCCCTGAGGGACGGACCGGGCCTGCGGGCCACGGCCCCCAGTGCCTAACGTCACTTTCTGAACTTACAAGAAAACTACAGCTGTCTGACCCAAAACGGCGCCTTCGCCACACCAAAACAGCAGGGCCCTGAGGGACGGACCGGGCCTGCGGGCCACGGCCCCCAGTGCCTAACGTCACTTTCTGAACTTACAAGAAAACTACAGCTGTCTGACCCAAAACGGCGCCTGCGCCACAGCCAAACAGCAAGGCGCTGAGGGACGGACCGGGCCTGCGGGCCACGGCCCCTTCCGAGGCCCCGGTGCCAGTGCCTAACGTCGCTTTCTGAGCCCGCTAGAAAACTAGCCTTTGAAGCCTGCAGCTGCCAGCTTTGGCGGCCGCTTCCGAAACAGGAAAACACCATGGCATGCCCGGTCCCAACTGCGCTTCCGAGGCCCCGGTGCCAGTGCCTAACGTCACTTTCTGAACCGACTAGAAAACTAGCCTTTGAAGCCTGCAGCTGCCAGCTTTGGCGGCCGCTTCCGAAACAGGAAAACACCATGGCATGCCGGTCCCAACGGCGCTTCCGAGGCCCCGGTGCCAGTGCCTAACGTCACTTTCTGAACCGACTCGAAAACTAGCCTTTGAAGCCTGCAGCTGCCAGCTTTGGCGGCCGCTTCCGAAACAGGAAAACACCATGGCATGCCGGTCCCAACGGCGCTTCCGAGGCCCCGGTGCCAGTGCCTAACGTCACTTTCTGAACCGACTAGAAAACTAGCCTTTGAAGCCTGCAGCTGCCAGCTTTGGCGGCCGCTTCCGAAACAGGAAAACACCATGGCATGCCGCTCCCAACGGCGCTTCCGAGGCCCTGGTGCCAGTGCCTAACGTCACTTTCTGAACCGACTAGAAAACTAGCCTTTGAAGCCTGCAGCTGCCAGCTTTGGCGGCCGCTTCCGAAACAGGAAAACACCATGGCATGCCGGTCCCAACGGCGCTTCCGAGGCCCCGGTGCCAGTGCCTAACGTCACTTTCTGAACCGAGTAGAAACTAGCTCCGAGCTAGCCCAGAGAGCCAAACGTCACTTTCTGAACCGACTAGAAGTGAAGGACGGATCTTCTTTTTCTTCGTCTTCTTCGTTTTCTTGTTCTTCTTGTGGCTTCTTTCTGAACCGACTAGAAAACTAGCCTTTGAAGCCTGCAGCTGCCAGCTTTGGCGGCCGCTTCCGAAACAGGAAAACACCATGGCATGCCGGTCCCAACTGCGCTTCCGAGGCCCCGGTGCCAGTGCCTAACGTCGCTTTCTGAGCCCGCTAGAAAACTAGCCTTTGAAGCCTGCAGCTGCCAGCTTTCGCGGCCGCTTCCGAAACGGGAAAACGCCATGGCATGCCGGTCCCAACGGCGCTTCCGAGGCCCCGGTGCCAGTGCCTAACGTCGCTTTCTGAGCCCGCTAGAAAACTAGCCTTTGAAGCCTGCAGCTGCCAGCTTTGGCGGCCGCTTCCGAAACAGGAAAACACCATGGCATGCCGGTCCCGACGGCGCTTCCGAGGCCCCGGTGCCAGTGCCTAACGTCACTTTCTGAACCGACTAGAAAACTAGCCTTTGAAGCCTGCAGCTGCCAGCTTTGGCGGCCGCTTCCGAAACGGGAAGACGCCTTGGCATGCCGGTCCCAACGGCGCTTCCGAGGCCCCGGTGCCAGTGCCTAACGTCGCTTTCTGAGCCTGCTAGAAAACTAGCCTTTGAAGCCTGCAGCTGCCAGCTTTGGCGGCCGCTTCCGAAACAGGAAAACACCATGGCATGCCGGTCCCAACGGCGCTTCCGAGGCCCCGGTGCCAGTGCCTAACGTCACTTTCTGAACCGACTAGAAAACTAGCCTTTGAAACCTGCAGCTGCCAGCTTTGGCGGCCGCTTCCGAAACAGGAAAACACCATGGCATGCCGGTCCCAACGGCGCTTCCGAGGCCCCGGTGCCAGTGCCTAACGTCACTTTCTGAACCGACTAGAAACTAGCTCCAAGCTAGCCCAGAGAGCCAAACGTCACTTTCTGAACCGACTAGAAGTGAAGGACGGATCTTCTTCTTCTTCGTCTTCTTCGTTTTCTTGTTCTTCTTGTTGCTTCCTGGCTTCTTGTTTCTTGCTTCTTGCTTCTTGTTTCTTGTTTCTTGCTTCTTGCTTCTTGCCCTTGCTGCTTGTAATGACTTCTTGCCACGGCCCCCAGTGCCTAACGTTGCTTTCTGAACCTACAAGAAAACTAGCTGTCTTCCAGCCGCCAAGCCTCACAAACGGCACCTTCGCCACACCAAAACAGCAAGGCCCTGAGGGACGGACCGGGCCTGCGGGCCACGGCCCCCAGTGCCTAACGTCACTTTCTGAACTTACAAGAAAACTATAGCTGTCTGACCCAAAACGGCGCCTGCGCCACAGCCAAACAGCAAGGCGCTGAGGGACGGACCGGGCCTGCGGGCCACGGCCCCTTCCGAGGCCCCGGTGCCAGTGCCTAACGTCGCTTTCTGAGCCGACTAGAAAACTAGCCTTTGAAGCCTGCAGCTGCCAGCTTTGGCGGCCGCTTCCGAAACAGGCAAACACCATGGCATGCCGGTCCCAACGGCGCTTCCGAGGCCCCGGTGCCAGTGCCTAACGTCACTTTCTGAACCGACTAGAAAACTAGCCTTTGAAGCCTGCAGCTGCCAGCTTTGGCGGCCGCTTCCGAAACAGGAAAACACCATGGCATGCCGGTCCCAACTGCGCTTCCGAGGCCCCGGTGCCAGTGCCTAACTTAGCGTCACTTTCTGAACCGACTAGAAAACTAGCCTTTGAAGCCTGCAGCTGCCAGCTTTGGCGGCCGCTTCCGAAACAGGAAAACACCATGGCATGCCGGTCCCAACGGCGCTTCCGAGGCCCCAGTGCCAGTGCCTAACGTCACTTTCTGAACCGACTAGAAAACTAGCCTTTGAAGCCTGCAGCTGCCAGCTTTGGCGGCCGCTTCCGAAACAGGAAAACACCATGGCATGCCGGTCCCAACGGCGCTTCCGAGGCCCCGGTGCCAGTGCCTAACGTCACTTTCTGAACCGACTAGAAACTAGCTCCAAGCAGCCAAACGTCACTTTCTGAACCGACTAGAAGTGAAGGACGGATCTTCTTCTTCTTCGTCTTCTTCGTTTTCTTGTTCTTCTTGTTGCTTCCTGGCTTCTTGTTTCTTGCTTCTTGCTTCTTGCTTCTTGTTTCTTGCTTCTTGCCCTTGCTGCTTGTAATGACTTCTTGCCACGGCCCCCAGTGCCTAACGTTGCTTTCTGAACCTACAAGAAAACTAGCTGTCTTCCAGCCGCCAAGCCTCACAAACGGCACCTTCGCCACACCAAAACAGCAGGGCCCTGAGGGACGGACCGGGCCTGCGGGCCACGGCCCCCAGTGCCTAACGTCACTTTCTGAACTTACAAGAAAACTATAGCTGTCTGACCCAAAACGGCGCCTGCGCCACAACCAAACAGCAAGGCGCTGAGGGACGGACCGGGCCTGCGGGCCACGGCCCCTTCCGAGGCCCCGGTGCCAGTGCCTAACGTCGCTTTCTGAGCCCGCTAGAAAACTAGCCTTTGAAGCCTGCAGCTGCCAGCTTTGGCGGCCGCTTCCGAAACAGGAAAACACCATGGCATGCCGGTCCCAACGGCGCTTCCGAGGCTCCGGTGCCAGTGCCTAACGTCACTTTCTGAACCGACTAGGAAACTAGCCTTTGAAGCCTGCAGCTGCCAGCTTTGGCGGCCGCTTCCGAAACAGGAAAACACCATGGCATGCCGGTCCCAACGGCGCTTCCGAGGCCCCGGTGCCAGTGCCTAACGTCACTTTCTGAACCGACTCGAAAACTAGCCTTTGAAGCCTGCAGCTGCCAGCTTTCGCGGCCGCTTCCGAAACGGGAAAACGCCATGGCATGCCGCTCCCAACGGCGCTTCCGAGGCCCCGGTGCCAGTGCCTAACGTCGCTTTCTGAGCCCGCTAGAAAACTAGCCTTTGAAGCCTGCAGCTGCCAGCTTTGGCGGCCGCTTCCGAAACAGGAAAACACCATGGCATGCCGGTCCCAACGGCGCTTCCGAGGCCCCGGTGCCAGTGCCTAACGTCACTTTGTGAACCGACTAGAAAACTAGCCTTTGAAGCCTGCAGCTGCCAGCTTTGGCGGCCGCTTCCGAAACAGGAAAACACCATGGCATGCCGGTCCCAACGGCGCTTCCGAGGCCCCGGTGCTAGAAAACTAGCCTTTGAAGCCTGCAGCTGCCAGCTTTGGCGGCCGCTTCCGAAACAGGAAAACACCATGGCATGCCGGTCCCAACGGCGCTTCCGAGGCCCCGGTGCCAGTGCCTAACGTCACTTTCTGAACCGACTCGAAATTAGCTCCAAGCTAGCCCAGAGAGCCAAACGTCACTTTCTGAACCGACTAGAAGTGAAGGACGGATCTTCTTCTTCTTCGTCTTCTTCGTTTTCTTGTTCTTCTTGTTGCTTCCTGGCTTCTTGTTTCTTGCTTCTTGTTTCTTGTTTCTTGCTTCTTGCTTCTTGCCCTTGCTGCTTGTAATGACTTCTTGGCCCTTGCTGCTGGTAATTCCTCCTCTGACGCGCTCCCCCTGCTGCAAGCGATTCGTTTGCGTGCGGGAAATTTTTCCGTGTCGCTGGCGGCAGTGTCACCGGCCGCATTCACAAACACGCATGCCCAACCTGCGGGGCAAGCGTTTATTCAGAAAAGGCCGACGGACGAATCCAAATCAAGCACAAAAACAGTGCCGGACGCACATGCCGCCGGGACAAGTGGACCGTGACGGCACCACTGCACAAATGACACGGCTAGCTTCCGACCCGCAGCCCCTACTGCCAAACGTTGCTTTCTGAACTGCCTAGAAACTAGCTACAAACTTGGACTTTACCCGCCCTTCTGCCCTGCCACCTGCCAGCTTGCTAGTGTCCTCTTGCAGCTGACTTTCGTCCTGCCCGACTGCGGTGAGAGGACCCTGTCGCAGCCAAACGTGGACTTTGCCCGCCCGTCGGCCAACTGCCAGCTTGCCCGTGTCCTCTCGAAGGACCGCACCAAAACACCATGACAGCGAAGGAGGGATCGGGCCCGCGGGCGGCGGCCCATGGTGCCAAACGTTGCTTTCTCAACTCCCTAGAAACTAGCTCCAAACTTGGACTTTGCCCGCCCTTCATCGGCCACCTGCCAGCTTGCCCGTGTTCTCTTCGAAACTTTGCCCGCCTCTTGGAGGACCGTGTCGCAGCACCAAAACACCATGGCAGCGAAGGACGGAACTTGGACTTTGCCCGCCCTTCATCGGCCACCTGCCAGCTTGCCCGTGCTCTCTTGGAGGACCGTGTCGCAGCACCAAAACACCATGGCAGCGAAGGACGGATCGGGCCCGCGGCCGGCAGCCCATGGTTCCAAACATTGCTTTCTGAACTCCCTAGAAACTAGCTCCAAACTTGGACTTTTGCCAGCCCTTCATCGGCCACCTGCCAGCTTGCTTGTCTTCTCTTGGCGGACCCTGTCGCAGCACCAAAACACCATGGCAGCGAAGGACGGATCGGGCCCGCGGCCGGCAGCCCATGGTTCCAAACTTTGCTTTCTGAACTCCCTAGAAACTAGCTCCAAACTTGGACTTTGCCCGCCCTTCATCGGCCACCTGCCAGCTTGCTTGTCTTCTCTTGGCGGACCCTGTCGCAGCACCAAAACACCATGGCAGCGAAGGACGGATCGGGCCCGCGGCCGGCAGCCCATCGTGCCAAACGTTGCTTTCTGAACTGCCTAGAAATAGAAACTAGCTTCAACCCTTGCTTTTTCCTGCCGTCAGCTCGGGTCCAAGGACCGTGCCGCAGGCCTCAAACACCATGGCAGTGAAGGACGGATCGGGCCCGCGGCCGGCAGCCCATCGTGCCAAACGTTGCTTTCTGAACTACCTAGAAACTAGCTTCAAACCTTGCTTTTTCTAGCTCCAAGCCTTGACTTTGCCTGCCCTGAGGACCGGGCCTGCGAATTTTCTCTTTTCGCCCCTTGCTGCTAGTAAGGCCTCCTCTGACGCGCTCCCCCTGCTGGCGGCAGGGGTCGGCGGATATGATATATTTTACTTTGACTTCATTAAATGTGATATATTTTTTCTAGTTTGCAAACGGATTCTATTTGATTTTATTGCCTACATCTATGATTCAGGTTCCGTTCAACAGCCTGAGGAAGCCAATGCAGCAAGTGGTGTCTGAGTTGGCTTCCGAGCAACGGCCTTGCCCAAAGGGCCAGGTCACAATGAGCCGAGCACAACGCTTTTACGAGCGGCAGCATGCGTGGTTGCAGGCTGTGACCATCATGGGATCGGGCGGAAGCAACTATAGTTCCTAGCAGGCACGAAAGGCAACTTCAGAAATAGTGTTTGTGTGCTAGTATGAGTCTTTGTTTGCTAAGCCGCAATTGATGAATTTAAGGGAAAATCATGTTTGTATAGGTTTCAAAAGAAATGAAAACACAGTGTTGTAGCGTGCGCAGGCACGGGAAGATGAGAAGCGAGACCTCCGGAAGGCCAACTGCGAAGATCCAAAGATCTGACGAGTCTTGCAGCGTGGTTGTGTCGGCTTGCCGATGTTTGGGTTTGATGTTAGTACGGAATGCACGACCCCCAAGATTGTTAAAGGAGAGCGTGAAGTACAGGAAACTGGCTGGGTTTCCCTTCCCACTCATGTCCACAGCTTCGTTGTGTGCAGTTGGGGCATGAGTGCCACACGCCCCTAAGCTGCGTGAAGTAGCTCAAATGGGTTTGCTTGTTTAAACTGGTCCTTTGATGCAATCTGCTTTTCCTCTCTCTCTCTCTTTCTCCTTTCTCTCTCCCTCTCTCTCTCTCCCTCTCTCGCTCTCTCTCTTTCTTTGTCTCTCTCTTTCTTTGTCTCACTCTCACGCTCACTCTCACCCTCACCCTCACTCCTCACTCCTCACTCCTCGCTCCTCACTCCTCACTCCTCACTCCCACTCCCACTCTCACTGTCACTCTCACTGTCACTTTCACTCCCATTCTCTCTCTCTCTCTCTCCCTCTCTCCCTCTCTCCCTCTCTCTCCCTCTCTCCCTCTCTCCCTCTCTCCACTCTCTCCCTGCTCTCCCTCTCGCTCCCTCTCTCCCTGCCTGCCCCTCTCGCCCTCTCTCCTCTCGCTCTTCGGCTCTCGGCTCTCGCTCTCGCTCTCGCTGCTTCTCTCTCTCTCTCTCTCTCTCTGCTCTCTCTCTGCTCTCTCTCTCTCTCTCTCTCTGTCTCTGCCTCTCTCCTCCCTCGATCTCTGGCCCTGTTTTTCTGTATCTGTCTCTTTCTTTTTTCTCTTCACACACATATGTCATATTTTCCACACAAACGCGTAGGGTTCTCGCTTTCGCCAGGGACAGACGTCAAGGAAACCAACAATATTGATTCAAAGTGCCGCACAAAAAAAACAATTTCCCCGGCATATCGGATCCATAGGGACTCCACAACCCTATAGCAATTTGTGCACGTGTGCTTCCAGACAGCGCGTGCCAGACACCGTCGCGTTACCATATACCATCATATACCCCTGAATTACCTATGTAGCATACACTCAGCGAAGGAAGTTAGAAGTCAAACTTCCGACAATATAGAACAGATGAAAAATAAGATGTGTGGGAAAGTCAGAGAGGAAAGAAAGAATAAGAAGAAGATCAGAAGAAGAGAAAGAGCAAGACAGAATGATGCAGGTCAGTGCTCGAAAACGTCTCCAGCACCAGTCGCGAAACGTGTGTTTTTTTCCATGATTTGGTGGCTCCGGAGGTCGAAAGGTATGCCGCTAAAGCGGCGGTGCGTAGCCGCTCTGTGCAGATGAGAGAATGTAAAAGTGCACGCCGTTGTGGCCATGAAGCATATTTCTAAGTCAACATTGTGCAAAGCAACCAGGTTCAGAGCAGCACATTTCCGAAGTCAAAATGGTAAAAACCCCGCCTGGCCGGCCATTTTTGGACGTTCCAAAAGGCACCACACTACTAACAACGACTACGACAAGGACAACCACAACAACAACTACAACTACAATTACAACAGCTACAACTACTACAGCTACAACAACTACAACAACCACAACAACTACAACAACTACAACAACTACAACAACTACAACAACTACAGCCACAACAGCCACAGCAATAACTACTACGGTAGCGACATTTAAATATATGGAGGGCGGGCCAGACAGCGAGGCCCCGGAGGTAGTATGAAATACCAGCCGTATGTTTAAATGAAGTGGATTCCGTATGTTTAAATAGCCGGGAGGGCGAAGGAAAACATGCCCGGAGGTAGTCTGAAATACCTGTTCGTATATTTTAAAATCCGTATATTTCAATGTAGTTACCGTACAACTACAACTACAACTGCAACTACAACATCAACTACCGCTACAACTACAACTGCACTACAAGACAACTACAACTACAACTACAGCTACAACTACAACTACAACTCCACTACACTACACTACACTCCACTTCACCACACTACACCACTACACTACACTTCACTACACTACACTACACTTCACTACACTACACTACACTAAACTACCCTACACTAAAACATACTAAAACTACAACAGCAACAACCACAACAACCACAACCGCAACCACAACCACAACAGCTACAACAACTACAGCTACTACTGCAGCTTCAACTGCAACATTACAACATATTACAACTACAGCTACAACAACAGCAACTACAGCTACGACTACACTACAATACAACTACGACTACAACTGCAACTAAAATTAAATTGCGCTACGCTACACCACACTACATCCAGCAGTTGTGGTTGAGGTGGCCACTGCAACCGTTTCAAAACGCACAACTCCAACCAGCTTTTGGTCCATCAGTGGATTCGCTCTGCCATCCATGCATCACAACAACTCACCTCTCCTATATATAGTATCCTATCTTTGAAACTTCCGCCACCGCAGATTAGTTCATAACATGATGTTTTTTGACCACTATCCCTGCACCAGCTGGAAACAGGAACACATCTTCCGTGCTCTCCAAGAGGAGGCTGAGGTGCAACCTTTTTGTTGTCTTAAGCGCTAATCCTTTTTCAGGATTTCTCAGTTCAAGAATCGGAATCAAGGTTCACTGCATATTGTTTATCGTGTGTTTCCAGACTCAGACATAGTTCCCCCTCCAAGTAGTTTTACATCGCAGGGTTTTTTTAAGCAAAAAGTGCTGTTTCTTTCGGGACAGGCGATTTTTGTTTTGCCAAATTGGCAGCATTTCGTGGTGTTTCTCTGACACCACGTAGATGCATATTTACAAAAGTGTATGAGGTATGATTGACATGGAGGATTTGGCCGATTTGGATCGATTTGGCGTCAAATTCGTCTCTGTATCTCAGAAGATTCTGAAGGGTTGCCTGAGCTGTCAGTTTGTATTGGGTTTCAAATGGTTTCAATGAAGTGTTTGCGTCCCAAAATCTCTTTTCTGCCACTGATCAATTGTCAAGTGGTGAGAACACAGACATGTCGCCTTTCAACAACCTTGTCCCCTCCACTCGTCTGCCCCCTTGTCGGCAGCTTGTTTTCCGCTGGTCTCAAAGCAGGATATTTTTAGCAATTGAGGCATTTTTTCCAAGAATCATCAGTCTTGTGGAAGTTCGGATTGTGGAACTCTTTCTGCTTGGGGGATCGCAGGCAGCTTTTCTCCAGACGCCTTCTTTTGATGCCGTTTGTAAGTGCAAACTCTGTCACCTTCGGGGTGCAAGTCAGCTTCTGTCCCCTGAATTACTCCAAATAGTTTTTGGATGTTTTTGGCAAAAACAATCAGTCTCACTTTGCACAAGACCTTGCCTACCGACTTGTGCAAGTTCTATCAATTTCTTTCACACGGCGTGCTGTAGAAGATTTACTTTGGTGTTTCAGGCGCGAAAACGCGATTGCTCTCCATACCCTGAAGAGAAAAAGGCGGGTCAGCATGAAAGATCTTTGAAGCAAAAAGCATGTTGTGATCGATTTGAAAAGGGAGGCAGCTGAAGATGCTAAATCGAAATTGGCACGTCTGGACTGACCACTGCATAGTACTGGACAATCTGCTCACTCAAATGCACGGGGCAGAAGTGCCGCCAGTTGCGCGGTCTGTCCCGGTCCATTTACGATCGGCAGGCTGGGCTCCGGGAGGTTTTTGTTTTTCTATGGGTTTCTCGAGGTTCCACCAGAATATCACGGGTCATTTCTGTATTCATATAATTTCATATTCACCAGCTTACAGTTCATGAATGTTCACGAATGTTCATGATGTCGGTTTGGCAATAGCTGGCCAGAGCTGAGATGTTTATCCCATGTTATCCTTAGTTAGTCGAGTCACTGGGCCTGCGTGATGTTCTTTATGCAGATCGCCTGGATGAGACAAAGAGAGGTGGGATTGGAAGCGCAGCGTGAGGCCCAATTTGAGGCCCGACAGATACTTGTTACAGGGTTCGAGGCATCGCGACAGTGTGACAGAACTTCCTACACCAAAAAAAAGCATCCTCCTGAGTTTGCCCTATCAAGTGCCAGTGGATTTTAACGTTTGAAGTGCTATTGGCTGGAAGTATTGTTTGAATTCCGGCGTGCTCTGGACGCTCACCTGCTTGAGAGATATTACCCGACAGTGTTTGGTTGCATGCACGAGCATTGCAAACAGTGTAGGTATGTCGATGTCATTGGTCCACAATGCGGGGTCTTGCTGTTTTCTGGTGAAGCCTGAAGTTGCATATAGGCTGCGACATGCCGAGAATCCTTGAACTCTACCACTCCAAGGTCCAGGGTTCAGAAAGGGAATATATATATATAATAATTATATATATATATCTATATATTATATTTCGTTAAATTATATCATCGAAGGAAGTTTAGAAGTCAAACTTCCGACAATATGGACAGATGAAGAGCAGAGCTGGGCAGAGGCAGGGAGAAGAGAAGAGCAGAAGAGAGAAGATGATAGAAGAGAAAGAGTCATCAGAAAGAAGATGCAGATGCGCGAACAGGTAGAAAAGCCGCGAAACACTGTGTTTTTCCAATGATTTGTGGCTCCGGAGGGTCGAAAAGTAGGCTCGCTAAAGCGGCGGGTGCGGAGCCATCTGGCCAGATGAGACATGAAAAAGTGCACGCCGTTGTGGTGCGAAGCACATTTCGAAGTCAAAATGTGCAAAGCACACCAGGTCCGGACCACTTTTGGAAGTTGAGATGTCGAAAAAGTGCACGCCGTTGTGGCACGAAGCACATTTCGAAGTCAAAATGCACAAAACACACCAATGTCGGACCACTTTTGGAAGTTGAGATGTCGAAAAAGTGCACGCCATTGTGGCGCGAAGCACATTTCGAAGTCAAAATGCACAAAACACACCAGTGTCGGACCACTTTTGGAAGTTGAGATGTCAAAAAAGCGCATGCCGTTGTGGCGCGAAGCACATTTCGAAGTCAAAAGGTGCAAAACACCACATGTTCGCGCCACTTTTGGAGGTTCAGATGTCGTTTCGCGTGTGGGTAATGCACGCTTTGTGAATGTTGCACTCACGCGGTGTGGGTTGTTGCATGTATCCCGTTTTCCTGATGGCTCCGACGCGGTCAGAAAAGACACACGCGCGGTCACTGTCTGTTTGCCTCGGCGGTTTGCAGGCAACTGCTTATTCGACATGGCGAGCAAGGGATGCGGTCAGAAAGACACACAATCCGAGCAGGCACTACTATCTGGCGACAGGAGTCCTACTCATGAGGTGACCAACCGTGATTGTCACATGCCACTCACAACCCACTTTTTTTTATGATACATACCCTGTTTTAAATGGCCAATTTAAGATATGTCTTCTACACAACTGATCCAATCATTGTTCACAAGCGCCAAGCTTTGAGAAGCAAAAAGCAACATCATGACATCAGTAAAATGAGCAAGACAAGAACTTCACCCATGGAATAACCGCTGTCGGAAAACCTGGTCATTCAAACAATACACCACATTTTTCCCCACGGGTCATCACAAAGAAATCGTGAAAAGTGAAACTAGAACCGTCATGATAAGAAACATCATGTGAGAGACAACCATCATTTCATGACAAAATAGCCATGTTCATGAATCCACGTCTAAATATCATTTGAACCCAACCATTATTTCATGATGAAAATGGAAATGGTCATGAGTAGAGACCAAGCATCTACACATCATTTGAAGGACAACCATGATTTGTCTATCTAACTGTGTATCTATCTATCTATCTATCTATCTATCTATCTATCTATGTATCTACCTGTCTATCTGCAAGCTTGAAACCTAGATATTCTGCGAGACTTCTTCGTTTTTCAGAGTTGACAACCAAAAAAACGCAGCAATTCTGCGTGACTTCCTCATTTTTTTTAAGTTGACAACATCAAAAACGAAGCAATTCTGCGAGACTTCCTCATTTTTCGAAGTTGACAACATCAAAAACGAAACAAGTCTGCGAGACTTCTGCAGTTTTTGAACTTGACAACATCCAACACGAAGCAATTCTGCGAGACGTCACCATTTTTGAACTTTGACAACATCAAAAACAAAGCAATTCTGCGAGACTTCTTTCCAAAATGGAAAGTTGAGTGCAGAGCTGACAGCCTCGTACCAATTCGTTTTGCGATTTTTCCAGTCCACCTGTCGAAAGTACTGCGCTTGCCACGAAAAAGTGATGCCATGTCATACGAAGTGCTGCACCTGTCACGCAAAATAGCAAACCTCAAGATCTGATGCTCCAAAATGCAACCCCTCTCAGGAAATCACCACCCGGACCAGCTCCGATGAAGATGTCTCTTGTACTGCGCCTGCCACGGAAAATGCATCTTTGCAGATCCTCTTCAAACGTCCCACGCCTGCCATCGTTTTTGGAAATGCTACAAAACCCTCACGGTTTACTCACTTTTGAGAAGGTGCACAATCCCTTGACCTGCCATGCGAAACGACATCTGAACTTCCAAAGTGGTCCGAGCATGGTGTGTTTTGTGCATTTTGACTTCGAAATGTGCTTCGCGCCACAACGGCGTGCAATTTTTCATCTCTCATCTGGCCAGCTGGCTCCGCCCTCCGGAGCCACAAATCATTGGAAAAACACAGTGTTTCGCGACTGTCCTACCTTTTCGCGCACCTGTATCTTCTTTCTTCTGACTCTTTCTCTTCTCTGATCTTCTCTCTTCTACTCTTCTCTCTCTGTGACTCTTCCCATCTCTGCTTTGCATCTGTCCATATTGTCGGAAGTTTGACTTCTAAACTTCCTTCGATTGTATTATATTATATTATACTATATTTTTTTTAATTATACTATATTATATTGTATGATATGATATTATATTATTTTTTATATTTTATATGATATTATATGATATTAATTTATATTATATTATATTATATTGTATTGTATTTTATTATAGTGTATTATATTATATTATATTATAATATATTATAGTGTATTATATTATATTATATTAAATTAAATTATATTATATTAAATTATATTGTATTATATTATAGTATAGTATATTTTATTAAATTAATTTATATTATATTAAATTATTTTGTATTATATTATAGTATAGTATATTATATTAAATTAATCTATATTATATTAAATTATTTTGTGTTATATTATAGTATAGTATATTATATTAAATTATATTGTATTTTATTATAGTATAGTATATTATATTAAATTATATTGTATTATATTATAGTATAGTATATTATTAAATTATATTGTATTATATCATAATATACTTATTTTTTTTATAATATATTATATTATATAATATTTGTTTTATTACATTAATTAAATTATTTATATTACATTGAATTATTTCAAATTAAGTTAAAATTATTATTTTTTATTATATATTTTTTGATTATATTATATTATTTTATTTTTTTATATTACATTATATGTTTTTATTTTATATTGTATTATGTTTTCTATATTGTATTAAATTATAGCATATTGTATTTTATTAAATTAAATTATAGTATTTTATATTATATCAAAGTATAGTATCTTATTAAATTATATTGTGTATTATTTTATATTATATTATATTATATTATATTTGAAAAAGGATGCAGATATGCTTGGAGATGGAACAACCAAATTCGGCTATAGAAATGTTGTGAAGCGGGCAATCGCGCGTAAGTAAGTGTCGGGTTCCCACTCATTGTTTACGCAAAAGGGGCATCAATGTCCCTAGGGCATCCAAGTATTTGACTTGTTGTGAGCACAAGTGGAATCAGCGGAATCCAAGTTGTTTGCATACGTTTGGCAAACTATTTGGCATGTTTGTGCGATTTTGTGCGCTAAATAGACTTTTGAGAATTCTGACATCCGCGAGTTTGCGAAAGGAAGAGACCGTCTTCAGCTCCCGCTACTCCTCGGAGCCAAAGTCCGGCCAAGGCCCGAAACACTGTCAGACTATCCACGTTACCATTTTGTCGACTTTTTGATTTGTTGACTTGTTGACTTGTTCTCAAGTTGCTTCTGGATTCAGAGCTCTGGGACTTGAACATTCAGTTTTCTGTTGCAGGACAAGAAACGATACTATTCCTATGTGTTTCAGACCTGTTTTGCAGATATGAAGGCTCTGCAAGTTTTGTAGGTCATGGACTACATTCCACCTTCGATTGGGGGCCATCCCAATTCATAGTTAATTTGGTTGTCATTTGGCCTGAATTTTGAGGTTCATATTAATATGTTCATGATGCTTATATAATGTGTATAATGCGGCGACATGTGCATTATACCATATTATACCCATATATAAATGTATAATATATATATAATTGTACGTGTATATATTTATATATATATAAGATATATATGTGTGCGCATATAGATGTAGCTATATGTACGCCAATCTCTACAGGTACTTTATTTCATACAGAATGCAGTATACATATGTTCTGAATTCCCACACATACTCTCCTCCTTGATGTTATCGCTCCTGCCGGGAGCTTCTCCATGAAACATGCCTTCTGGGACAAAACGCTGTACCTCGCGGCCTCAAGGGCTTGAGGGATTATGTTTGCTAAGCTTGTTGCCAAGGAGTAACAGATGATGCTGCGTGCTTGTGGGTTCCCTGGATTGGTGCATTTAATCAAAGTTATGACAAAACAAAGATGGACCTTACAGTCAGTTGATAAATTCACAAGAGTGCATTTTGTTTCTGGAAGATTCCTACAGTATTGAGCAGCTGAAGGTCACACTGATTCCTTCACTCTGCCTTTGTCCTGAGATTTCCTGGGTAGGCCACAGGTGAGGCGATCCTGGAAAAGCTTAGGAACGCGAGGCGGTTCGGGCACTGGGTTACATGTTGAACACGTTGAAGGTGCCTGACACAGTCACACAAATATCATCAAATATCACACAAACAAGACTCTCCAAGACTTCTCTGGACATTAAAGTTCTTGTCAGCCATTCTCAAGAATCTATGATATCTAGACTTATATCATCTTATAGTTGTATCTATAGAGTTATATCTAGAGTTGTATCTAGTTGTATGTGGGTACTAGTACTCTACCGGTCCAAACATGTCCAGACGTCTTCCAGGTACCTGGAGAGAAGTGATCGCCTTCCAAGGGACCATAGCCCACCACGGGGTAAAGGGCCACAGCCTCAGATTGGGTGACTGCGTGGGCTCCTTTGAGAAAGGAAAAACGAAGAAAGACGAGTAATCAAAAACTTCTGGAAAAAGTTTTCGGAAAAAGAATGAAAAGAATGAACAATCACAAAAACATCAAGAATGTCTTTATACAGTAACGACATTGGTGTAAGGATATGTAAGAATGGTGTGCAAATCAGCTACCAATGTCGTTGGAAAAGCTGTTTCAAAGCCGACACTTCAGAGCCGAAATCCATGCAATACTGTTCTCCCCTGCTCTCCCGGATGCTGCTGTAGTTTCGAAATGTTCCTCTAGCTCTGTTTACAACAGGATCTTTAGCTGACAGCCAACAAATTGAAACTTCTGCGCAGACAAGACCTGAGAAGCCGACCTCTGACCAAGTCATAGTTGTGGGTCGGGTTATTTCGAAGAAAACACATTGACATGTCATGACATGTCATGACATCATTCAACATGTCCCAGGCTGTGGAGCACATCCTTTGCGAGGACAGCTAATGCGACCAGGGCTAAAGTGTGGACTGGGACTTTGGATGTGGTCCTTAGATGTCCTTAGACTGCCAGATGAGACTTGCGAGGCATCAGCTTTGAATAGCGCTGATCCTGAGCAAGTCGGATTTCCAGCATGATCCATCATGATCCCGCATGTTTGGGCATGAAGCCCTCCAAAAGTCCCTCAAATGTGCATTTACGCAAGTTTACACCAGGAGCGGTATGGTTGAAGCCTCAGCTGCTCTCAGAGATTTGTAGCAAGAAGTCAAAGCAAAGGGCCAGTTGACCCATGCTGATCCATGCTAACCCTTTTGAGGACGTTTGGAGCTTGTATCTTTGATATCATGAAGAGAACCAGAGTTTAGTCGAGTAGCAACCGCACAGAAATCGGCAGAAAAGGATAGAAAGGGTTTTAACATGTGTTAACATGTTTTAAACTGTTTTTTTGAAGATAGGACCGTCCTTTTTTCCTACAATGTCCTCCTTGTCCTCGCCCCACCATTTGCAATTCTTGCTCCACATGTTGAGGCCTTTTGTGGCACTTGCAACCGCTGGAGCCCCCGCCGTTCACCTTTTTGTCTCCATTGCGGGCACAATCGTGCAGGGTGGCCAAGACAAATAAATGTTGCAGATAGGCTTGTGTGTGTGTGTTTGTGTGTGTGTGCGTGCATGTGTAACTTCTGAATAGGAGTAAGTACTGAAAGACCCCTACTATGTCTCGGAAACTTGCACGTGTCATGTTTTGGTGACCTTCAACGATTTCCGAACTTCGGTGATTTCATGCATAAATGCAGAAGAAAAAATTGGACAGAAGTTGCCCCGTCGAATCCTCAACATCAATTTTCCGAATTCCTCTTTTAATCTCTTTTACCCAATTAAAACTGCAGGATGATGGAGAGGATATATGATGATATATATATATATATGAGGATCCAACGAAGCTCCTCGCATGATCCTAGGATATCACCGGGGCCGTCTGGTGACATACCCGCAGTATCCTGCAGTATTTTCGAATCTCCTCTTACAGGGACCGGCTATGCCAAGAGCCGGCATGTCGACCTTTTTGGCAATCATGGCACTTTTTTCGCACGTTTCTCACTTTCTTCATCGCGCTTTATATCTTTATTGCACGGCTGTCCGACACCTGATTCCATTTCGACGTTTTGGCACATCTGATGCGAATAGTACGTGTATACCACGTCTACATCAGCATCTTTTGAAATTGGTTCATGGACGGACGAAACTGTATTAAATTGTCGAGTTATGCAATATGTTCTTGTCAATTTCCACTTGCTTTACGCTCTTGTTTTGCACGAAGGATGGATTCCCCAACATACCAAATTGAGATCCTGTTCTTGTCAAGTCTGTGTGTGTGTGTCTCCGAGGCTGGGATTCCTCCTCAAACGGGACCGTTTACTGACCATAAATCGAATCTGCAGGCATTCACAGCAGGTACTACAACAGTATCATTCACACAATGACAATCATTGACTTGTCAATCATCCAACTCGTAAATCATTCAATCGCTCACTCAATCATTTAACTCATTATCCCTCATGCTAAGCTTCTGTTTTCTTTTCCTGCGGGCACCCTCTTTGTTCCAGTTACTTTATTCCCGCCAAGCTGAGGTCGTTGCCGAAGATCTTGGATTGGGTGCGAGCCTCAAAACTTTGAATGTGCCAGTGTTAGACTGTCCAAGACCAAGTCAATGTATCAGCATGATTCAGCATGTACTAGCTGTTTTCGTTTGTGGTAAAGGATGATAGTCAAGCCAAAGCGACCATGTTCCAGCCGATGATTTGCTATATGTACAGCAAGCGCATTGTTGATCGCGATAGACTAACAACTCCAAGTTTCGCGAAACGCGCGAAAGTGTTGATTTTTCTTGATGAACCCAATAGCCGCATGATGTGCCTGATAAGCTTCTGATGTCCCTGATTGGTCTACAAATGGAAGAGCAGAGGAGTCTTTGCATTTAAGCACAGGAGGTAAATTCATTCGTTCCGAGTCATTGAAACGCGCTGCCTTCTCTGCAGTACATGTGTATACATCATCGGTTCATATTGATTCAGAATTCATATGAAATCATATTAAATCATATCACATTATATAAGTATTTATATATCGTCGTGTATATAATATATATATATATATGTCGTGATTTTTGTTCTTGGCTCCAGATGAAACAGCTGATTTTGGACATCCTGGTGGCGAAGAGGTGCCTGATTGTGTTGGCTCATGGTGCATGCATTTGGAACTATCAGAGATGGCGAACGTTGGGAGGAGCGCATGCTCTTGAAGGAAACAAATGTAGCCGCTGAGAGTTGTGCCGCATGTCACAAATGTAACTTATCATTTATTTTTTGTCGAGGAATCTTAACAGGATTGCGCAGGCCATCAACAGAACAGGATTTACAGAGATTTACTAGACGTTGTTGCATCAGATTTGGATGTCACACACACACACTCACACTCAGGCACATGTATGCGTTTCTGGCTGTTGCAAAGTGAGCTGGCTGATCAAAGCATTACGGTGCAGAACTGAAGATGTGACTTGTGCAGCGCAATGACTCGGCCCCGCAGCTCTTTCCAGCTAGACGACGAGTGCCACCATTGCCACTCAAGCGGCGCTAAAAGAAATGAATAACCAAATCACCATGGTTCAACCACAGTCAACACTTTGGTTTTGAGCTTAGAAGAGAGAGGACATCCAATGTGTGGTTTTTGCCTTCCCTTCTCAATCCTTCTATGTCCTTCTCATATTGTGTTCTGATTGACAACCATTGACAATCAGAGCATAGGAGCGTAAAGGTCAAGCAACCTCGGTGGCACAGATCGAGGACACTATAATAATCGTGTGAGAACCGAGAGGAAGTATCAATTACGGACATTAGTGACGTTAGTTAGCGACTCTATGCGACTCTCAACCTTTGGCTGAACCCGGTATCTATGCCTATCTCAATATTTGGACTTTCTCAGTCTTTATCTCGATCTTTATCATTACTTCATATATATTTTATTATATCTTCATATTAGTCAGGGTCGTCCAAGAGCTCCATTTGATATCATTCAGAAAATCGCTTTGACTGTTGGATTTTAATTCAATTTTGCTGTAGCAGCCTAAACTATTGTCTCGTATATTGACCCAATGGAAATGAAACGTACTCTATCCAACACAAATACTAAAGTCATTTAGGCGCTCCGGAGCGCGTAATTTATTCAAATAAAGTTCAAAGCCATTTAGTACCAGCCTAAACTATTGTCTCGTATGTTGATCCCATGTAAATGAAACGTGCTTTATTCAACACAATGAAAAAAACTAAAGTCAATTACTCGCTCCGGAGCGCGTAATTTACTTTAAATAACATTCAATGCCATTTAAGATCAGGCTACGGACTCCATATACCAACATCTTTGTTGGGGCCCTTGGGTTCAGATTCATTCCGCAGCTTGATGCTACCATACCATTACTGTGTGCATGTACATGATCAGCTTTATGAAAGCAGTAATCTAATTGTCTAAGTGAGTTTTTTTTCAAACGGTTTATCATTTTGTAGTTGGTGAGAAATGGAGACACCATATTGTCACCATTAAGGGTGGTTACATGGACTCACCATTTTTCTTCTCCCTTCTATTGCCCGTTTGGCGCTTATGGTGTTTTTTTGCATTTAGGGGAGGAATTGTCCCCACATGATTCCGCAGCTGGATTGGATCAGCCATCAGCTTCGATTGGGGATGGAATCTTGGCAAAACACAAATCCACTCAATAAGGGAGTTAGGAAAAACTTAACTCCCTTGTTGAGTGGTTCAAGTTGAATCACTCAAGCGGGCAGTTACATTTTATATTATTTTATCGCGCTCCCTTATTGGACTTGTTCCAATTCAAGAAGAGTTACCCAACAAGGGAGTTAAGTTGCCCTCACTCCTTTATTGATCCGTTCAACTTGAATCACTCAACAAGGGAGTTAGGTTTTTCCCTACTACCTACTTGAGTGGATTTCACTCATTGCATAGGATGCCCGTTCAAGAAGAATCACTCAACAATGGGTTTCGGGCCACTCCCCGTTCTACTAAATGTCTTTGAACTTTTTTTGGTGGATTACGCGCTCCAGAGCGCGTAATTTTCCTTAATATGTTTGTTGAATAAAGTAGGCTTCATGTCCATGGGCCAATAAACAAGACAATAGTTTAGGCTGGTATTAAATGGTTTTGAACTTTATTTGAATGAATTACGCGTTCCGGAGCGCGTAGTTTTGTTTAACTGTTGTTTAACAAATCTAAAGGCACATTAAGTTTCATGGATTCCATGAAATCAATATATGAGTTGATAGTGTAGCCTGGTATTCAATGGTTTTGACCATTGTTTAAAATAAATTGCATGCTCCGGAGCGCATAATTTATTTAATTTAAATAAGGCTCAAAACAATTGAAAACCAGGCTAAACTATTTTTTGATATTGACCGGGTGCAATAAAACCGTAATTTTTTCAACACAAATATTAAACATCGTCTCGAAGAAATCCAGTCAACTTGTCACTCCAGCCGAGCCTTCATCTTTGGTAAAGCGTTCTTTGGTGACAACAAAACTCAATAGCTACTGTAATAGGGGGAGTCCGATTTGTAGGTGAAAAAGAAGTCCAGCTGATTGCCATCATGTGTTTGTTTGTGGGAAATTGACTCAACATTTGACTTCATCATTTGATTTTCAAGAGGATCATTTGGACAACCCTGTTAGTTACAGTACTGAATATTACTTATCACCCATCAAGTCCCGATTGAGCCTGGCCATGCTCTGATGCCTCGGACGTTTGCGCCTCATTTGTTTGCAGGCGCAAAGGTCAGGCAGGCACAAGGTAAGCCAGAGGAAAGAGCTAAGGAACGGACATCAACTTCTTCACATGTTTGGAATGCAGAATAAAATGAATAAAAACAATGTCACATTTTGCAACAGCTTGGAAACAAGTTCGCATTTGCAGAGCAGCCTCACCCAGCTACTATAGCATACAAATGCATACAATGTAATACATGTTTTTTTCTTCGTATGGGATGCCCAGGCCGCCCGCCCCAATGCTGCAAAATCATACAAAATCAAAGGAGTGGTTGCATGTTGCATCACATTATATCCTGTTTTTATCCGTTTAGCAACTCTTGTGCTTAATTTGGACACGGTTTTGATGGGTTCGCAATGGCTCGCATTGCATTCTTAAATAGTTTGCCTCTGCTACAGTATATATTATTTGCCTCATTGATCGGCAGTCATTTTCCATCAGTGGGGACAACAGTAGCCGCTTGCCATCAATGACTGCAGCAAGAACCAAGACCGCTTTCTGGAAAGAATGATGAGGAAAATAGGACGAGGAGGAGGAGGAGGAACAAGAAGAGGAGGATGAAGTACCTAGGGCGGCATGCAGAGAGATGACAGAGGCCAGTAGTTTCAGGAAACAGCTAAAGCAATGTCAACAAAATCGGGAAAAGGAAGAGAAGAGGAGGAGGAGAAGACGAAGAAGAAGAAGAAGAGGAGGAGATGGCACGAAGTACTTTGATCTCAAAGAAGAATTGGCATGGAATGGGAAAGTGCAACACGAAAAGCGAGAACAGTAGAACTCCCAGAATTGTTCCCTTCCCCTTTGCTGTTCGTTTCCATGGTTTGTTCAAGTCTGTTTTACTTTTAATTTTTGTTCAGTGCAAGAAAGCTCTTGGAATGAGGTACCGCTCGCAATGATATAACATGCACTTTTTTTGACGTTCAGTGTCCTAGGTGGAATTAGAGCCATGTCCACCTCATAGTAATTCTTTCTACTCCTCTAACTACTCCTCATATATACAGCTGTGTTTTGCTTGAGTTGGCGCAATTTGCAAGGCCTCAGTCAGTCCTATGATGACACAGCCTTGCACTTGTAGATCTATATTGAAGATTGCCTTGTGTAAGTGTGGGTTTGTATCATGAAAACCGTACCAAAACATGTCACATGGTTTGCAGTTTGACTTGTGCAAAACTTGAAAGCGGGTACAATATGGTACAACTGTACTGTACAAACTTAAAGAATCTTAAAGAGTTTCTATATGTTTCTATAAAATTTCTCGACCTGTCCGACCTGTCCGACCTGTCCGACCTGTCCGACCTGTCCGACCTGTCCCTTGCCCAACCTGAAAGAGATCTAGACGGAGCATCCAATGAGGCATGGGAGGCGGCGTCAGTGGTGGCACCCGCACCCAACTGGTCAGGGCCTCTTGAAATTACTGTATCCGAGACCAGGCAAAAGGTCCAAAGTTGGAATTGTCCATGAACAGATGCTGCAGGAATTGTGCATGGGAGAGAAATGTCAGGTGGCTTTTTTGTTGCATTGTGGCAAAACCCCAGAACAGTTCAAGTGTTCAGCGATGGTTTGTCGTTTGCAGTCTGCTACATACTTTTGGTAGATAGATTCCGAGCGCAAGTTGTTGCATGGTTTTCATGAAAAGTCAGGTTTCCTCTCCCTAGAATTCAGTCCAGCATCCGTTGACAAGTGCTTTGAAAGGCCCCTGTCACACATTTATCAATTAGGATCCTGAGTCATGTCATGTCATGTCCTTGCTGTTCATTGTTCATTGAGTGAATCTTGGTACGTCTTTGTACGTCTGACACTGGTATCCACAAAAAGGCTGGGACCTACCTGGCTGAGCAGACTCACTACCAGCCACCCAAGTGAGCCAGCTTGGACAAGCTTCCATCGTTGTCATCATTTTGTTGGAAATGGGAGGCCTGACATGAAGACAGCAATTCTATGCAATTCTATCTTCTAGACACCGCGTTGAAGCTGTCCTTTTGGCACCCCCGTGAAATAGGCCTGAGCATCCAGGAATACCCAGGACACAGGAATATCCAGTCGATTCGTCTGCATCGTGTGCTTTGTGCGATCTTACATGGTCTTACCATGTCTTAACCGTTAACTTAACCCTAAATTATATTAAATTATCATGCTTTTGAAACTTTTGAATATCAAGGGATCTCGTCAAGCATCAGAGCCAGAGCGCAACGAGGTACACATTGATCAGTGTGAGTTCTGCCCTAGGGCGTGGAACCTCACCTGGACTAGCTGGACTTGCTGTTTTGATGTAGTTTGAAGAAAAAGGACCAAGACTTCAGCAATGAGCATACACCTTAATGATCCTTAGTGCATGTCGGCGTGATTCTGAAGAGTTCATGGATGATGTCGATGTGACTGGCCTTTCGCTCTTGCTGTGCCAGCAGTCGGGCGAAGTACTCATGAATGACCCATGCCTTAAGAAATTATTCCAGGGTATCAACTAGGTTATGGAATAATTTCTTT